AATTAAGGGTTTCTAGCTATTTTTGTTGTGTTATTAAACTTTGTTTGGACCTTTATTTTTTGTGTCTGGGTCCTTTAAGGCATCTGGTTCACGACAATAATATAATGTAATATAATGTAATGTAATAATATATAATAACATATAATAATATATAATAATATATAATATATTATAAAATAATAATATACAATTATAATAATATAATATAATATATATTATATATTATATATATAATATGTTATAATATATTATAATATAATGTTATAATATACAATTATAATATATAATATCATATTATAATATACAATAATAATATTGTCATAATAATATTATCATTGTAATATAATATAGTATAATTATATATAATATATAATATATTATATAATAATATTATATAATAATAATGTAATAACACATAATATAATAATAATGTAATAATATATAATATAATACAATATAATAATATTGTTAAAAATAATAGTTTTAACTTCCTGGCCCAGGAAGTTTAGCTGGGTTATTACAGAGAAGCCATTTTAAACCGTTTTAAACCAGAGTGGATTAATTTCTTCCCTTTGCCACCCCCCCCCCCCTTTTCTGGAGTAAACCAACAACTTTCAAAGTAAAAGACCATCCATTAACGAATGATTCAGAAGTATCATATGTATTGTAAAGTTTTGAACTTTTTTCCCATTGAAAATCAGAATTGACTTTAGATACGAACCACCAGCGCCCCCTATATACAAAACAAGTTTAGAACCAATTTTTTCTTGATCAACCAAGCCTAATATAGATAGATGGATAGATAGATAGATAGATATATCATCTGTATATATGTACAACTAGCTGCTTTGTGTCTCACTTAACAGAGAACAGCTGCACATAAATATGGTGATAATAGTAATAATAGTAATAATAATAAGCCGAGACCTCATGTCTAATATACATATCTTGTGTGTGTGTATGTATGTGTGTGTAATCTGTACATACAGGAGAGTCTCGCTTATCCAATATAAACGAGCCAGCAGAACGTTGGATAAGCGAAAATGTTGGATAATAAGGAGGTATTAAGAAAAAGTTATGGTTTTACAAATTAAGCACCAAAACATCTTGTTTTACAACAAATCGACAGAAAAAGCAGTTTAATACACAGCAACGTTATGTAGTAATTACTGTATTTATGAATTGAGCCTCAAAACATTGCAATGTATTGAAAAAGCTGTGGATCTGGGTGGGAAACAGATTGCGTTGGATAATACAGAACGTTGGATGAGCGAAGGTTGGAGAAGCAAGATTCTACTGTATGTACAACTGGCTGCTTTGGGTTTCGCTTAAGAGAGAACAGCTGAACATAAATAAATATGGTGATAATAGTAATAACAATAAGCCTAGACCCCATATCAAATAAACATATTGTGTGTGTGTCTGTAGTAAAGGTTTCCCCTGACATTAAGTCTAGTTGTGTCGGACTCTGGGGGGTAGTGCTCATCTCCATTTCTAAGCCGAAGAGCTGGCATTGTCCTTAGACACCTCCAAGGTTATGTGGCCAGCAAGACTGCATGGAGCATGTTACCTTCCTGCCAAGGTGGTACGTATTGATCTTCTCACATTTTCATGCTTTCGAACTGCTAGGCTGGCAGAAGTTGGGCCTAACAGCGGGAGCTCACCGCGCTCCCCAGATTCAAACCACCAAGCTTTTGTTAGGCAAGCTAGCAGGTCTGCAGTCTACCGCTGCGCCACCAGGGGGCACTATATTTTCATATATGTATGATTTGTATATATGTGCAACTAGTTGCTTTGGATCTCACTTAAGACTGAACAGCTGAACATAAATATGATGATGATAATAGTAATAGCAATAAGCCAAGACCCCATATCAAATAAACATATATTGTGTGTGTGTGTCTGTAGTAAAGGTTTCCCCTGACATTAAGTCTAGTTGTGTCGGACTCTGGAGGGTAGTGCTCATCTCCATTTCTAAGCTGAAGAGCTGGCATTGTCTGTAGACACCTCCAAGGTCATGTGGCCAGCAAGACTGCATGAAGCACTGTTACCTTCCCGCCAAAGTGAAATGAGCAGACTTATTTACTTTACTTATATACCGCTGTTCTCAGCCCGAAGGCGACTCACAGCGGTTCACAACAAATAAGAACAGCAAAAATTCAATGCTACAGTGTAAAAAAACAGTTAACAACCTAACACATTACACAATTAATAAACAATACTACAATACCCATTCACTGTCGTCTCGTCATCAAAAACATGTTCCAGATTCGTCATCCATTGTTCCATTCCAGTGTTCATTAACCAATCATTGCACTAATTATTGGAATGCCTGCTCAAACAGCCAGGTCTTCACTTTTTTGCGGAATACCATTAGAGATGGTGCTAGTCTAATGTCCGTAGGAAGGGCGTTCCACAGCCGAGGAGCCACCACCGAGAAGGCCCTATCTCTCGTCCCCGCCAGCCGAGCTTGAGAAGCAGGCGGGATCGAGAGCAGGGTCTCCCCGGAAGATCTCAAAGTCCTGGTGGGTTCATAGGCAGAGATGCGGTCGGATAGGTAGCTTGGGCCGGAACCGTTTAGGGCTTTAAAGGCCAACGCCAGCACTTTGAATTCAGCGCGGCAGCAGATCGGTAGCCAGTGGAGTTGGCGCAACAGGGGGGTTGTATGCTCCCTGCGCTCCGCTCCTGTTAAAATCATGGCTGCCGAGCGTTGGACTAGTTGGAGCTTCCGAGCTGTCTTCAAAGGCAACCCCACGTAGAGAGCGTTGCAGTAGTCTAAACGGGATATGTAACCAGAGCGTGGACTACCGTGGCCAAGTCAGACTTCCCAAGGTACGGGCGCAGCTGGCGCACAAGCTTTAGCTGTGCAAATGCTCCCCTGGTCACCGCCGAAACCTGGGGTTCCAGGCGCAGCGATGAGTCCAGGGTCACACCCAAGCTGCGAACCTGCGTCTTCAGGGGGAGTGCGACCCCATCCAACACAGGCTGTAACCCTATGCCCTGTTCGGCCTTGCGACTGACCAGGAGTACCTCTGTCTTGTCTGGATTCAATTTCAATTTGTTCGCCCCCATCCAGACCGTCACAGCGGCCAAGCACCAGTTCAGGACCTGATCTTCTCACATTTGCATGTTTTCGAACTGCTACGTTGGCAGAAGCTGGGCCTACCAGCGGGAGATCACTGTGCTCCCCAGATTCAAACCACCAAGCTTTTGGTCAGCAAGCTCAGCAGCTCTGCAGTCTACCGCTGCGCCACCAGGGGGCACTATATTTTCATATATGTATGATTTGTATATATGTGCAACTAGGTGCTTTGGATCTCACTTAAGACTGAACAGCTGAACATAAATAAACTAGCTATCCCCTGCTACGCGTTGCTGTGGCCCAGTCTGTTGATCTGGGAAATAAAGTAATGAGAAAGTGTTGGTTTCTAATATATGTAATTTCTTTCTGCTTGTGGGTAAACAGTATTTCTTGCTGTTTCTTTGTCAGTGTTGATGTGGAGATGTCTGGTTTGCCTACTCTGGAACATGCAACATATCGTTGCCCTTCTTTAGGGGTCACTTTCAAATCTAGGATACTATATCTGTGTGTGTGTGTGAATCATATCTATCTATGGAATGTGTCCAGAGGAGGGCGACTAAAATGATCAAGGGTCTGGAGAACAAGCCCTATGAGGAGCGGCTTAAGGAGCTGGGCATGTTTAGCCTGAAGAAGAGAAGGCTGAGAGGAGATATGAAAGCCATGTATAAATATGTGAGAGGAAGCCACAGGGAGGAGGGAGCAAGCTTGTTTTCTGCTTCCTTGGAGACTAGGACGCGGAACAATGGCTTCAAACTACAAGAGAGGAGATTCCACCTGAACACGAGGAAGAACTTCCTGACTGTGAGAGCCGTTCAGCAGTGGAACTCTCTGCCCCGGAGTGTGGTGGAGGCTCCTTCTTTGGAAGCTTTTAAACAGGGGCTGGATGGCTATCTGTCAGGGGTGATTTGAATGCGATTTTCCTGCTTCTTGGCAGGGGGTTGGACTGGATGGCCCATGAGGTCTCTTCCAACTCTTTGACTCTATTATTCTATCCAATTATCTATCTATCTATCTATTTCTATGGCTGGATGGCTCTTTGTCATGAGGACTCTGAATACATTTTCTTGCCCTGGTGAAGGGAGTTGGACTGCATGGCCTTGAGTATTTTCTGTTGGTTGTGGGGGTTCTGTGTAGGAAGTTTGCCCCGATTCTGTCGTTTGTGGGTTCAGAACGCTCTTTGATTGTAGGTGAACTGTGAATCCCAGTGACTACAACTCCCAAATGTCAAGGTCTATTTCCCCCAAACTCCATCTGTGTTCATATTTGGGCGTATTGAGCGCTTGTGCCAAGTTTGGTCCAGATCCATCATTGTTTGAGTCCACAGTGCTCTCTGGGTGTAGAAGAACTACAACTCCCAAACTCAAGTTCAATGCCCACCAAACCCTTCCAGCATTTTCTGTTGGTCAGGGGAGTTCTGTGTGCCAAGTTTGGTTCAATTCAATCATTGATGGAGTTCAGAGTCCTCTTTGATTGTAGGTGAACTATAAATCCCAGCAACTGCAACTCCCAAATGACAAAATCATAATTTTTTGAGTGATGGTCACTCCTTGCGTTGTGAGACGTTTTATTGCCAAATTTGGTGTGATTTCGTTCATTGGTTCTTTTGTTTTTTAAGGTACTCATTACGCACAGAGCATTTTTATATATATAGATATGATGAGAATAGTAATAACAGTAAGCCAAGACCCCATGTCCAATATACTGTGTGTGTGTGTGTGTGTGTGTGTATGATCTGTATAGATGTGCAGCTTGCTGCTTTGGATCTCAATCAAGAGAGAAAAGCAGGACATCAATGTATAGAAGGCCTCTGGGCATGTGCAGAGGGCATCCTTTGGGCAAGCCTTCCTCCTACACTTTAACTACAAGGGCTCTCTTTCTGTCTTACTATATGGACCCTCCTGGCCTCCTTTTCCTGCAGGGACGATGGCCCCTCACTCTCTGCTGTCAAGCGCTTGGAGCGCAGCCAATGGACTGACACAATCGATGCCCGATTTGGGTTCGAACGGATCAAGGAACCCTCCGAAAGGACCGGCTGGTTGATCAACATGCACCCGGTAGGTACCGGGTGCAACTACACTGTACTCTGCATGTAGTTTGGCGCCACTTTCACCATTGTGGCTCAAGGCAGTGGGATCCTGGGATCTATAGTTTGGCGAGGCACCAGTCCCCTTTGGAAGCAAAGGCAGAAGACTCCTATAAAATGACTAGGGAGCCAGTATCCAGAATTTGCAGGGGATTGATGGATGGAGGCTATTTTGGTTGGGTTTCTTCAGAAGATTTAGTCTGAAGAATCTACACTGAGTCCTTGGTATGGAAGCCTGGGTGCCAAGGGCTAGAGGAAAGACATAGACACTCATAACACTATGTTGAAATGATTTTTGTTACTGGGTTATTTCAAATTTTGTTACATAGTGTTATAATAATAATAATAATAATAATAATAATAATAATAATAATAATAATAATAACAACAACAACAATATACACATAATAAAGAAAGTTAATGGGCAAGGCATTATACTTCACTGGCTTCATGTAGGAACTCTGCCTTTACCTAATATTAAAGATTAGATCAGTGTTTCTCAACCCGGGGTTTGGGACCCCTGGAGGGGTCACAAGGGGGTGTCAGAGGAGTCACCAAAGACCATCAGAAAACTCAGCATTTTCTGTTGCTCATGGGGGTTCTGTGTGGGAAGTTTGGCCCAATTCTATCATTGGTGGGGTTCAGAAGGCGTTTTAATTGTAGGTGAACTATACATCCCAGCAACTACAACTTACAAATGTCAAGGTCTGTTTTCCCCAAACTCCACCAGTGTTCACATTTGGGCATATTGAGTATTCGTGCCAAGTTTGGTCCAGATACATCATTGTTTGAGTTCACAGTGCTCTCTGGATGTAGGTGAACTACAGCTCCCAAACTCAAGGTCAATGCCCACCAAACCCTTCCAGTATTTTCTGTCGGTCATGAGAGTTATGTTTGCCAAATCCGATTCAATTGCATCTTTGGTGGAGTTCAGAATGCTCTTTTAATTTAAATGAACCATAAATCACAGCAACTACAACTCCCAAACGACAAAATCCACCCCGCCCCCCAACCCCACAAGTATTCAAATGTGGGCGTATGGGGTATTTGTGCCAAATTTGGTCCAGTGAATGAAAATACATCCTGCATATCAGATATTTACATTATAATTCATAACATTAGGAAAATTACAGTTATGAACTTGCAACAGAAATAATGTGGTGGTTGGGGGTCAACACAACATGAGGAACTGCATTAAGGGGTCACAGCATTAGGAAGGTTGAGAACCACTGGATTAGATCATAGAATTCTAGAGCTAGATGGGAACCCCAAAGGTCATCCAATTCAACCTCATTAAGCCAGATAGGAAGACACAATCCAGTCCCTCCAAACAGATGATAATGATGATAATAATAATAATAATCCTTTATTTATACCCCGTTAACATCTCCCGAAAGACTCGGTGCGGTTTACAAGAGGCCGAGGCCCAGCACATCAATAAAACAACAGCATAACAAATACAACAATAAATAAACTCATAAAACAAGCAATAAACATTAAAACAATAGCAATAAACATTAGACAATAACACCATAACACATTTAAAACTAAGGCCGGGCCAAATGTAATGATTAAAAAATTTAAAAATGCTGGGCATGACAGGTGAAATTGATAGGTTTTTGGAGATAGGTGCGGTGTGCAGACAATCTTAAATCTCTAGCAAAGTGCATTTGGGACATGATGCTTGGAGTTTCCTATTCTGGAAAGGCACACTGGAACAACCACGTCTTCAGGCTCTTCCTAAAGACTGCCAATGTTGGGGCTTGTCTGATGTCCTTGGGGAGAGAGTTCCAGAGTGGGGGGGGGGCACCACAGAGAAGGCCCTGTCCCTCGTCCCCATCAACCGCGCTTGCGATGCATGTGGGATCGTGAGCAGGGCCTCTCCAGATGATCAGAGAGATCGTGTGGGTTCATATACGGAGATGCGGTCACGCAGGTAAATGGCACTCCAAGAGCCAGAAAAGTAGACTCCACCTATGTGATATTAGTAAGGAGTTAGTGAGTCCTGGCCATATATTTTCCAGGCCCCTTTCCATACTTAGGGCTGACTCATCTTTTAGAAAGAGGGGGAAATGGTGTAAAATCTTTGTGGTCGGATCTAATATATTAAACTCACATCATTCTTTTGCTTTAGACGGAAATTTTGGATGAGGATCGACGCCTGATCAGTGCTGTGGATTACTATTTCATTCAGGAGGATGGGAGTCGATTTAAGGTGAGTATCTGGGGCAGAAGAGAAATGTGCTTGATCCCTCTTCAACCTGTGGCCCTCTAACTCCCAGAAGCTCTATCCAGCTTTTTCAGTGGTCAGGAATTCTGGGAGCTGAAGTCCAAAACACCTGGAGGGTCACAGGTTGAAGAGGCCTGATTCAGAGCGTTGCATAAAGCTCACCGTCTTTTATTTTTCCCCTTCCGTAGGTGGCCTTGCCCTATAAACCTTACTTTTATGTCGCAACTCAAAAGGTTAGTAGGAAGCTCTTAGCCCATAATGTCAGACACCCTTTGAGACACTATAAACCCACTGCAGTGCTGATGGGTTTGTGGGTTAGAAAGTGGAAGGAGGCTGGGAACTCTTTGTCTTTCTGACGGGATGGTTGTCGCTTTAGGGCTGCGAGCGAGAAGTGTCGTCCTTCCTTTCCAAGAAGTTCCAGGGGAAAATGGCAAAGCTGGAGACGGTGCCCAAGGAAGACCTAGATCTGGTGAGAAACGGATTCTGTAAGATCTAATGTTGTGGCATTGCTGGGAAAGGCCGAGAGGAGAACTGATCCTCTGAGGCAATGCTCTGAGAGTGCCGCTTCTTTCTAGAGGTGTGTCAGTTTGTAGGAAGTGCCCCAGAGGCCATTCCAAGGGGAGTCTCCTCCATAACTAGGCTGCTACAAATCGTTGTTAGCCCTGACTATTTTCTCTCTCTTTCTATAGCCGAACCACTTGGTTGGGCTAAAGCGCAACTACCTCAAGCTCTCTTTCAACACGGTGGATGACCTGGTCAAGGTGCGCAAGGAGATCAGCCCGGCGGTCCGGAAGAATCGGGAACGGGATCAATCAGTGGACACCTACACCACCATGTTAGCCAGGTAGAGTGGCCCAAGGTTCTTGCTCCCCTACGATCTGAGCTGCATCTTTAAGTAAGACTTTGCCATAGATCAGCGTTTCTAACCTGGGGGTCGGGACCTCTAGGGCGGCCACAAGGGGGTTTCAGAGGGGCCACCAAAGACTATCAGAAAACATATTTCTGATGTATTGTCGAAGGCCTTCATAAGTGGAATCACTCAGTTCTTGTGGGTTTTTTCGGGCTATATGGCCATGTTCTAGAGGCATTTCTCCTGACGTTTCGCCTGAATCTATGGCAAGCATCCTCAGTTGCCTCCTTCCCACCCCAATCTGTCCTACTTTTCCACCTCATTTTCCCACTTTTTCAACCACCCCTTCCCATTCCAACCTTTTCCCCATTTCCAGAACTTCTTTCCCACCCCTTTCCCAAGCCAGTCTTTCCCACTTTTCCTTATCTATATAAATAAAAATGTAATGTTTGTTTGTGAGTTTAACAGAACTCAAAAACCACTGGATGAATTGACACCAAATTTGGACACAAGACACCTAACAACCCAATGTATGTCCTTCACGCAAAAAAAAAAAATTGATTTTGTCATTTGGGAGTTGTAGTTGCTGGGATTTATAGTTCACCTACAATCAAAGAGCATTCTGAACCCCACGAACAACAGAATTGGGGCAAACTTCCCACACAGAACCCCCATGACCAACAGAAAATACTCAAGGCCATCCAATCCAGCTCCCTTCATCAGGGCAAGAAAACATAATCAAAGTCTTCCTGACAGAGCCATCCAGCTATAGATATAAATAGATATATAGATATGATTCATACACACACAGATATAGTATCATATATTTGAAAGGGACGATGGAATTGAACCAAACTTGGCACACAGTTCTCCCATGACCAACAGAAAATACTGGAAAAGTTTGGTGGGCAGTGTCCTTTGGTTTTGGAGTTGTAGTTCACCTACATCCAGAGATCACTGTGGACTCAAACAATGATGGATCTGGACAAAACTCTACACGAAGACTCAATATGCCCAAATGTGAACACTGGTGGAGTTTTAGGAAAATAGAATCTTGACATTTGGGAGTTGTAGTTTCTGGGATTTATAGTTCACCAACAATCACAGAGCATTCTGAACCCCACCAACGATGGAATTGAACCAAATCTCCCACACAGAACCCCCATGTGAGCCACAGCAACACGTGGCAGGGGACGGCTAGTTCATATATACAGAGCATTTTCCCCAACATGTATAGTTAAAATAAACTATGGTGATTATTGGAAGAATACGTAAGCACATTTACACTGAAGGTGGTTAGAATAATGGTTTAATCAGAGTTGGACAGTCTTACCTTAAATTACCATTTTATGTAAATATTCAGAAACATTTAACCCACCGATGCCTCCGTTATTGTAATTTTATTGGTATCTATTTATTTATTTTTAAATTTACCAGTAGCTGCTGCATTTCCCACCTTCAGCTTATACTCCAGTCAGTATGTGTTCCAGGTTTTTGTGTTAAAATTAGGTGCCTCGGCTTATATTCGGGTCGGCTTATACTCGAGTATATACGGTACTTTATTCAAAGAATTAGATTACAATATAGGAAAGTAAAGGGCTAAACTGTCTATCTAACTAAATGTTCTGCCCTCTGCTTCAGATGTGCAAATGCCCTAAGGCATGGTCTACTTTCATGGTTCCCCACACCAGGAAAGAAGGTCTTGACACTCATTCTCTGAAGCAGGCATCTTGAGTCTCTCCATTCTCATAGGAGAAGAACAAAATGGAGGACTTGAGCTTGCCACGGGGCTAGATACTTTAGAAAAGGGGCCTGTACCTGAGAAGTGTCAGCCCAACAATTAAGGGGGGGGGGAGAATAGAGAGACAAAAAGAGGCCAATTTATTTATTTATTTATATCCCACCTTTCTCTACCCCAAAGGGTACTCAAGGCGGCTTACAAGTGACACCTACGCAGCGCCTCAAAACATACAATATTCACTTAAAAATAACTTAGATTAAAATTACTGACCTAATAAACATAATTAAAATACATTCAGTGTTAAAACACACCATCCGAGGATCAAAGTCTAAGGCCATTCCGTAGTCAATTGCACATATTCTACATTAAAACTACTGCACTGCCTTATCTATCGAAAGTCTGCTCCCAGATCCAGGTTTTTTATTCTCCTTCTGAAGTCTAGGCGGGAGGGGGCTGATCTAATATCGCTAGGGAGGGAGTTCCACAACTGAGGGGCCACCACTGAGAAGGACCTGTCCCTCGTCCTCACCAGGCCCGCTTGTGAGAAAGGTGGGACCGAGAGCAAACCCTCCTCAGACAATCTTAGTCGCTGAGCTGGTTCATAGAGGGAGAGACATTCGGACAGGTAAACTGGGCTGGAACAATTAAGGTCTTTATAGGCTAAAGCAAGCACTTTGAATTGTGCTCGGTAGCAAACTGGCAACCAGTGGAGCTGACGTAACAGGGGTTGTGTGCTCCCTGAACGGCGCTCCAGTGAGCAACCTGGCTGCCACTTGTTGAACCAGTTGAAACTTCTGAACAGTCTTCAAAGGCAGCCCCACGTAGAACACATTGCAATAATCTATACGGAATGTAACCACAGCGTGGACCACCATGGCCAAGTCTGACTTCCCAAGGTATGGGTGCAGCTGGTGCATAAGTTTTAATTGTGCAAAAACTCCCCTGACTATCCCCAAAACCTGGGGTTCCAGGCTCAATGATGAATCCAGGATCACTTGATGAGGACTATAAACTTGTGCAAGATGTGGTTGGATTCCAACACCTTTGCTGTACTTACGCTTTATCTTCTTGGCAGCGCTCTGGCTGGTGGCAGCCTGAGCAGTAAGGACGAGGAGCCCTCCAAGAAGACTTCCGACCAGATGGACAATATCGTGGACATGCGGGAATATGACGTGCCTTATCACATCCGCCTGTCCATCGATCGGAAGATCCACGTGGTGAGTGCTTGATTCCCCCAGTGACAAGAGGCGGGTGCCAGCTCGATGGAAAAATTTGGCCAAACAGATGTGTAACTTATAAAAGATGGTTGCCAATCTGTTACCGAGCACAATTCAAAGTGCTGGCTTTAGCCTATAAAGCCCTGAACGATTCTAGCCTTGTTGTTCATTCGTTCAGTCGTCTCCGACTCTTCGTGACCTCATGGACCAGCCCACGCCAGAGCTCCCTGTCGGCCGTTACCACCCCCAGCTCCCTCAAGGTCAGTCCAGAATGAACGTATCTCCAACTATGAACCATCATGAAGTCTAAGATCGACGGGAGTGGCCCTGCTCTCAGTCCCACCATCCTTGGAAGCGCTACTGGTGGAGACGAGAGACAGGGCCTTCTTGGTGGTGGCCCCTCCCCTGTGGAACTCTCCCCCCGGTGACATTAAATTGCCCCCCTCCATCTTGTCCTTTAGAATGAAACTCAAAACCTGGCTATGGGACCAAGCGTTCAAACAGTAGAGGCAGCAATTTAGAATGAGACCCAATTTGTGTGAATGACAATGGGCTGACAAGGACTATGAATTGAAACCTGTGTGATTTAAACAACGTTTTAGTAATTTAAACATTAACAAACCGTTGAAATTGCTTTGGTCATTTATTACTGTTGTTGGCACTGAATAAATGCCTGTTGTGAAGCTGCCCTCAGTCCCCCTCCGGTGGTGAAAAGAACGGGATACAAATATTCGAAATAAATAAATAACTGCTGGCTTCTCCTGTGACAGGCTCATTGGTACAACGTTCGCTACCGGGGCAGCAGCTTTCCCCCTGAAATCACTCGTCGTGATGACCTGGTTGAGCGACCCGTGAGTTGTCGTCTCTCAAAGTTTCTTAATGTTGTTGTCGTCGTGTCCTTTCAAGCCTCGCAACTGCCGATTTCTTTTCTTTCTAGGATCCTGTTGTCCTGGCCTTTGATATTGAGACCACCAAGCTCCCGTTGAAATTTCCGGATGCCGAAACAGACCAGATAATGATGATCTCCTACATGATCGACGGGCAGGTCGGTGGCACCGCTGCATCTCTTTGGTCAGTCAAGACCTTCCATCTTGAAACCACAGGGAGAGAAAAGTTGTTCAAGTGGAGCTTTCTCTGTGCTTGTGTGTGTCTTGGGCAAAATATTTACTGATCACTCAAAATCACTTCTTTCTTTGAAGGGTTATTTGATCACCAACCGGGAGATCGTTTCGGAAGACATCGAAGATTTTGAGTTCACTCCCAAACCTGAGTATGAGGGGCCCTTCTGTGTTTTTAATGAACCGGATGAGGTAAATAGACTTATTTATTATTATTTATTTATTTGCGGTATTTGTATACCACCCTTCTCAACCCTGAAGGGGACTCAGCGTGGTTCACAGTGTTGGCAACAATTCCGTTTGGAAAGGAAACAAATAATAATAATAATAATAATAATAATAATAATAATAATAATAATAATAATGTCACAAGTATCACCTGCAAGCAATAAAGAACGGGTGGGATCATAAACCTGCAAAGGTATTGGAAAACGAACACGCAGAAAATACTGTGGGACTTTTGAATCCAGACTGACAAAGTTTTGGAACGCACTACACCAGACATCACGATTGTGGAGAAGAAAAAAGTTTGGATTATTGATGTTGCCATACCAGGTGACAGTCGCATTGAGGAAAAACAACAGGAAAAACTCAGCCGTTATCAAGACCTCAAAATCGAACTGCAAAGGCTCTGGCATAAACCAGTTCAGGTGGTCCCAGTGGTCATCGGCACACTGGGTGCCGTGCCAAAAGAACTCAACCAGCATTTGGAAACAATAAACATCGACAACATCACGATCTGTCAACCGCAAAAGGCCACCTTACTTGGATCTGCGCGCATCATTCGGAAATACATCACACAGTCCTAGATGTTTGGGAAGTGTTCGACTTGTGATTTTGTGATACGAAATCCAACGTATATATCTCATTTGCTGTGACATACTGTGTTTTTGTGTCAGTAAAATAATAACAATAACAACAACAACAATAATAATATAGTATCAAGTATAGGCAACCCTTGCTGTGCAGGTTTGGCCCATCTGTTCTGAGATGCATTTTGTTTTTAAGTCAAGTTTGTCAATTCTTCTCCTCTTCAAACCAGGCCCATCTCATCCAGCGGTGGTTTGAGCATGTCCAGGACACTAAGCCGACGATCATGGTGACTTACAATGGAGACTTCTTTGACTGGTGAGAACGGAGCAGGCTTGAACCCAAACATAATGGTTTAAATTAATTTTAACCATCTTTCTAACTGTTGTGTTTTGTGGATTGCAACCATGTGACCTTTTTTATCTGTTAGCCACCTTGAATCCCGAACTGTGGAAAATAGGATATCTCAGTAGTTGAAAAGAATTACTCAAACACAAGTGGATTTGGGGAACCCCAGGATTTTGCATCCATTTTTGTCCCAGGTCTATCGAGTTGTCCATCCTTAATGTTACCATCCTGGTTGTAGAACTTCTTTTGATCATTTGGACTCAATGTTTGCAGGCCCTTTGTCGAAGCTAGAGCTGCAGCACACGGGATGGATATGCAGAAGGAGATTGGCTTCCAGAAGGACAACCAGGGCGAATACAAGTCATCTCAGTGTATCCACATGGATTGTCTCAGGTATGAACGCAGATTTTTCCCTCTATCGCATCAATTTCCTTCCAGACTTAAGCTGATGAAGGAGAAGCTGGCGGAGGCTTGCATCCTTTTGACACATCTCTGCTCCATGAGAATATATACATTCCACATCTTGTGAGTCAGTGCTGTTTTCGACCTAGAAAGTTCTGTACGTCTCAGGGCCAGGTTATATAAAGGGCCATATAAAGCTAAGCTTGTGAGTCCCTATTAAAAATGGCAGCAATAATGCAGGCGGCAGATGCCCTGCAAGGCATGTATTTGATTTTTACATTTCTCCCATGTTGCTTTTACGGAGTCATAAAGTGTTTCCAATGCTGTGGCTTCCTTTGACAGGTGGGTCAAGAGAGACAGCTACCTCCCCGTAGGAAGCCACAACCTGAAAGCGGCCGCCAAAGCCAAGCTGGGCTATGACCCAGTGGAGCTGGACCCTGAAGAGATGTGCCGGATGGCGACTGAAGAGCCCCAGGTATTGAATTCTGGAGAAAGTCCTCCATTGGTACCATCAAGTGTTCACTGACTGATGCCACGACAGGATTCCTCCAATTTAATTTTACAGTTGCCTCCTTCGGCTGCTGTTTCTTGGGAGGCCAGAAACAAAGCACAGTCCCATGCAACAGAATAATGTATTGGAACTGGATTTCTATAATTTTATTGAGGAAGGAGGAATGTGGTGCGGGATATACTGGGGCTTTAATGTAAGTGTGTGGTGAAGACATTCCTTTCCGTTTCTTCCTTCAGACTCTGGCCACCTATTCAGTGTCCGATGCGGTTGCAACCTATTACATGTACATGAAGTATGTGCATCCATTCATTTTTGCTTTGTGCACCATCATCCCAATGGAGCCTGATGAGGTAAGCATGATGGAGCTTCAGCCTTGATGCTTATTATTATTATTATTATTATTATTATTATTATTATTATAGTTTTACTCTCCTCGTGGCTCAAAGCAAGTCACAGCATAGTTAAAACACATCATCATAAACGTAAAAAGAGTTCAGGCCGTCTTTGATATATAGAGTTAGGTAATGTTTAATATGTAATGTATGCCATAAACAAGAGCTTGAGGAAAGAAGAGGTGAGCTAACAAGTCAGGAGATGGGAACCATGAGATATAGAGCCAAACAGCCATAGAAAAAGGCAAAGGGAGGCCAAGTTACTTGGGTACAGTTGAGATAGAGCTGAAGAGGCCCTAGCTGTGGGACACCGTAGTTTTTTTTTTTTATCTCTTGTGGGCCTCTTTTTCTGCAGGTGCTCCGCAAGGGCTCAGGGACACTCTGTGAGGCCCTGCTGATGGTCCAGGCCTACCACGCCAACATCATCTTCCCCAACAAGCAAGAGCAGGAGTTCAATAAGCTGACGGAGGATGGACACGTCTTGGATTCGGAGACCTATGTCGGGGGCCACGTGGAAGCCCTGGAGTCAGGGGTCTTCCGCAGCGACATCCCTTGCCGCTTCAAAATGGTACGGCTTTGGAGGGCGTCCCTGTGCTACCTCAGCCCACCCTTCTGCACTGCTTGAGTCACTCATGGTTTAATAGCAGGGTTCAGTGACATTTCTGCTTGCCCCAGTGTCCCTCCACTAAGTGGCTTTGGTCAGAAGAGGTCTTGGCACTCATGCTAACGATTGTGGTGTCTTTTAGAATCCTGCCGCCTTTGACTTCCTTCTGGAACGAGTGGAGAAGACACTGCATCATGCCATTGAAGTAGAAGAAGGAATACCCCTAGACCAAGTGACCAACTTCCAAGAGGTAACCTTAGCCTTTACTTTGAAGGTTGTTGGCCCTAGTACACTTTTCCCCAGAAGCCCTGACTTATGTTTTCTTCAGCTTTTCCTCCTGCTTCTCCTTCTCTCTGTCTTAGTTTTTGACCCCTTTCTTAATTAAGCTGAGAACCACATGTGGCCCATGGCTAATAGCCATGCCACTCCCGATTATGATCCTTGACTATTATGTACTGGAGAGACTTGTCTTCATTTCTGGCAAAACCTTTATCTTGCTTCAGGTCTGTGATGAAATCAAGGTGAAACTGAGTTCCCTGAAGGACGTTCCCAACCGGATTGAGTGCCCGCTAATCTACCATCTGGACGTGGGCGCCATGTACCCAAACATCATCTTAACCAACCGACTACAGGTAAGCAGCAGCTCTTTCAAGCCAAGGAATTCTTCTTGGGGTTGGGATGATGAAATCCACGGACTGATACTCTGACATAGGACGCTGTCCGTGGGTTTTGGAAAAACCTGAGGGGCTTCAGTATATATTCAGAGCATGGCACAAATTGTATGTCATAAAAGCTACCTTGTGTCCACTTTGGGCTGGAGAATGGACTGAATCCATGTCTAAGATGTTGCCTTTCTCCTTCTTCTAACCTTTTTGGTTTGATCTGCCTCCATTTTCTCTCCATTGTAGCCTTCAGCCATGGTGGATGAGGCCACCTGTGCTGCCTGTGACTTTAACAAGCCAGGTGCCAACTGTCAGCGGAGGATGACATGGCAGTGGAGAGGGGAGTTCAGTAAGTATTGGCTTGGTGCCACCCGGTTGGCAGAGGCTGAACTTCCTGTTGTCATCTGGATTCTCCCACCCGTGTGCTCAGCAGAAGTATTCTTTGCCATCTTTCTCTCCGTTTGCAGTGCCAGCAAGCCGCAGCGAGTACCACCGCATCCAGCAACAGTTGGAATCTGAGAAGTTCCCATCCCTCTTCCCAGATGGGCCGCCCAGGGCCTTCCATGAGCTGACCCGAGAGGAGCAAGCAAAATACGAGAAGAAGCGCTTGGCAGGTGAGGCCAAACCTAGCTGCTCTATGCTGGTCCTGGACTTTGATTTTGCTCAGTCTGTATCAGAAGATACATTCTTTGTTCCATCTCTTGCTCAGATTACTGTCGCAAGGCCTACAAGAAGATCCACGTGACAAAAGTGGAGGAGCGGGTCACCACCATCTGCCAGCGGGAGAACTCTTTCTACGTGGACACCGTGCGGGCTTTTCGGGATCGGCGCTACGAGTTCAAGGGGCTCCACAAGGTGCGGCTTTCTCAAAATGGTGTCATAGAACAATCGATGGTTCTCCGTGAGGTTTCCAAACCTTTGTCACTTGCAACCAGAGGAATGGCTGCCCATTGCCCCTCCCTAAGCTGGAGCTTAGCGGATTTCTCAACCTGTATGCCTAAAAAAACATTATTGAAGTGTCTCTTTAATAATGAGGCTTTATTGAAATGTCTCTTGTGGCTTTCAGTATGTCTGGAGTCTTCCCACACCTAACTTGTAGGGGGCTGCCTGCTCTTTCCATCTGTTCCAGGTGTGGAAGAAGAAACTGGCCTCAGCCCTGGAGGCAGGCGATGCCTCAGAAGTGAAGCGCTGCAAGAACATGGAGATTCTGTACGATTCGCTGCAGCTGGCGCACAAGTGCATCCTGAACTCCTTTTACGGCTATGTCATGCGCAAAGGGTGAGAGCAAACTGCCAACTACTAGTGGATCTTTCCCTTGTCCTTTCTTGTTTGGTGCTGGATTCCAGAATTTCAATTTTTAGAAAGAACCCCATCTTTTCTATCGCATCTCCTCATTATGTCACCCCAGAACATGCCTCCTCTCTTGTGGAGTCAGTTTCCAACGGAGTATATTATTGATAGCAGTGTTTGAAATGCCTAGGTGGACATCCTGTGGAATACATTGTCTTCTTCCCTTCCCAGAGCCCGATGGTACTCCATGGAAATGGCGGGCATTGTCTGCTTCACGGGGGCCAATATCATCACTCAGGCCAGAGAGCTGATTGAACAAATTGGGTGAGTGCTGGATGGACTGGGCTGGTTTTTTGCTGACATGTTTTCTCATTCTTCTGAAATACCTTTCCCATTTCCTCTCCCCAGGAGGCCCTTGGAGCTAGACACAGATGGCATCTGGTGTGTGCTGCCAAACAGCTTCCCAGAGAACTTTGTCATCAAGTCAACTCACACCAAGAAACCCAAGGTGACCATCTCCTACCCAGGTGCCATGTTGAACATCATGGTGAAGGTGAGGCACTTCATACATTGGTTCCCCCTCTCAATAGACATCTTGGAAGCTATGCCACCACTGGCATGGCTCTGCCCTTTTGGCGGTGCCCATTCAGAGGGCAATGGGAGGCCCTCAAAAAGGTACAAGGCCATCTCAAAGAATTACAGTGTTGGAAGAGACCCCAAGGGTCATCCATTTCAGCACCTGCTCTGCCAGGCTTTCATCTTGTAGGCACAGAGGCAATGGGTGGGTTTGGTGTTGAGCTTCTCCCTTCATGGATCATCATTGTAGATCGTTTGACATTTGGCAGGAAGAGTGTTGCTCAAAGGGAAAGTGTTTGGGTCGTTTGCTTCCAGGAAGGATTCACAAACGATCAGTACCAGGAGCTGATGGACCCAGCCTCGCTCAAGTACGTTTGCCGCTCGGAAAACAGCATCTTCTTCGAGGTGGATGGGCCATACCTGGCAATGATTTTGCCAGCCTCCAAGGAGGAGGGCAAGAAGCTGAAGAAGAGGTGAGCGGACAGGAGGTGGGGCTTCATTCGTGCATGAAGGGGAGGGCTGAAAGGACAGTAGTTGAAACCCAATTGTAGAGTACACAGGAAGTTTGAACAATCTGGGCCTGGCAATGCCCCTGAGGTGCCAGTCCAATCTTTGCCCTGTGCCAGGTATGCCGTCTTCAATGAGGACGGCTCTTTAGCCGAACTGAAAGGCTTTGAAGTCAAGCGGCGCGGGGAGCTGCAGCTGGTGAAGATCTTCCAGTCCTCAGTCTTTGAGGCCTTCCTGAAGGGCACCACTTTGGAGGAGGTCTACGCCTCAGTGGCCAAAGTGGCCGACTACTGGCTGGACGTGCTTTACAGCAAGGTGAGCCAGCCTCCAGGCACATCCCCTGGTTTTTTTTGTTTTTGTTTCTGTCTGATCTGTTTATTGTAATAATAATAATAATACAGTAGAGTCTTGTTTATCCAACTTTCATTCATTTAACGTTCTGTGTTATCCAACACAGTCTGCCTCCCGCCTGAATCCACAGCTTTTTCAATACATTGCGATGTTTTGGTGCTAAATTCATAAATACAGTAATTACTACATAACGTTACCATGTATTGAACTGTTTTTTCTGTCAATTTGTTGTAAAACATGTTTTGGTGCTTAATTTGTAAAGTCATAACTTAATTTGACATTCAATAGGCTTTACCTTAATCCTTCCTTATTATTCAACATTTTCACTTATCCAACGTTCTGCCGGCTCGTTTATGTTGGTTAAGCGAGACTCTTGTTGTTGTTGTTCATTCATTCAGTCGTTTCCGACTCTTCATGACTTCATGGACCAGTCCACGCCAGAGCTCCCTGTTAGTCGTCACCACCCCCAGGTCCTTCAAGGTCAATCCAGTCACTTCAAGGATACCATCCATCCATCTTGCCCTTGGTCGGCCCCTCTTCCTTTTTCTTTCAATTTTCCCCAGCATCATTGTCTTCTCTAAGCTTTCCTTTCTTCTCATGATGTGGCCAAAGTACTTCATCTTGGCCTCTACTATTCTTCCCTCCAATGAGCAGTCGGACTTTATTTCCTGGAGTATGGACTGGTTGGATCTTCTGGCAGTCCAAGGCACTCTCAGAACTTTCCTCCAGTACCACAGCTCAAAAGCATCTCTCTTCCTGCGCTCAGCCTTCCTTATGGTCCAGCTCTCACATCCGAAGGTGACTACGGGGAATACCATTGCTTTAACTATGCAGATCTTGGTTGCCAGTGTGATGTCTCTACTCTTCACTATTTTATCAAGATTGGTCATTGCTCTCCTCCCAAGAAGTAAGTGTTTCCTGATTTCCTGGCCACAGTCTGCATCTGCAGTAATCTTTGCACCTAGAAATACAAAGTCTGTCACTGCCTCCACGTTTTCTCCCTCTATTTCCCAATTGTCAATCATTCTTGTTGCCATAATCTTGTTTTTTTATGTTTAACTGCAACCCAGCTTTTGCACTTTCTTCTTTCACCTTTATTAGAAGGCTCCTCAGCTCCTCCTCACTTTCGGGCATCAAAGTGGTATCATCTGCGTATCTAAGGTTGTTAATGTTTCTTCTAGCAATTTTCACACCAGCCTTGCATTCGTCAAGCCCCACACATGTGTTCTGCATACAAATGGAATAGGTTGGGGGAGAGTATCCAACCCTGCCGTACGCCTTTCCCAATCTTGAACCAGTCTGTTGATCCATGGTCAGTTCTTACTGTTGCTACTTGGTCCTTTTACAGATCCCTCAGGAGAGAGACAAGGTGGCTTGGTATGCCCATCCCACCAAGAACTTGCCACAATTTATTATGATCCACACAGTCAAAGGCTTTAGAATAGTCAATGAAGCAGAAATAGATGTTTTTCTGAAACTCCCTGCCTTTCTCCATTATCCAGCGGATATTGGCAATTTGGTCTCTCGTTCCTCTGCCTTTTCTAAACCCAGCTTGTACATCTGGCAACTCTCTTTCCATGTCTTGCTGGAGTCTTCCTTGCAGGATCTTGAGCATTATCTTACTGGCATGAGAAATAAGGGCCACTGTACAAAAGTTTGAGCAGTCTTTAGCAAATGCTAAATGGTATGGGAATATAAGTTGATTTTTTCCAGTCTGATGGCCATTCTTGTATTTTCCATATTTGCTGGCATATGGCATGCATCACCTTGACAACATCCTCTTTCAAGATTTTAAACGGTTCAGCTGGGATCCCGTCATCTCCTGCTGCCTTGGTTTTAGCAATGCTTCTTAAGGCCCATTCAACCTCACTCCTCAGGATGTCTGGTTCTAATTCATTCACCACACCGTCAAAACCATTCTCGATAATATTATCCTTCCTATAAAGATCTTCTGTATGGTCTCGCCACCTTCTCTTGATCTCTTCAGCTTCTGTTAGGTCCCTGCCATCTTTGTTTCTTATGCCAATTTTTGCCTGAAATCTACCTCCAATGTTTCTAATTTTCTGGAAGAGGTCTCTGGTCCTTCCTATTCTGTTGTCTTCTTCCACTTCCATGAATTGCTGATCTCACTAACATTCCTAGCGAATATGCAGTGGAAGTGAAGAACAGATTTAAAGCACTATATTTACTAAATAGAATCCCAGAAGAACTATGGATAAAAGTTCACGACATTGTTCAGGAGGCGGCAACAAAGCATGTCCCAAAGAAAAAGAAAACCAAGAAGGCAAAATGGTTGTCTGCTGAGACGCTGGAAGTAGCCCAAGAAAGGAGGAAAGCAAAAGAAACAGTGATAAGGGGAGATATGCCCAGTTAAATGCACAATTCCAGAGGTTAGCGAGATTCTACTGTAATAATAATAATAATAATAATTATTATTATTATTATTATTATTATTATTATTATTATACAATTGCATTGTTAAATTGCCTATTCCTACATTTGTACAAGCTCATTATTCACATAGCTTTATCCATTCTCTTGCTTTTAGTTATTTTCATTTTCTCAATTACATACAATTGTTGTGTGCTTGGTGGTTTAAATTTGCCATGGCTTTTGTACATAATAGCTAAGAAATGGCTTGCCCGTATTATCAAACAGATGGTCTTTAATTTCTCCTATTGTTCATCTTAATGTCAAGTTTTCACTTTTCTAATGGGCCTGTAGCCCATATCCTGTTTCACTTGTTCTTTATTGATAAATTTTCTAACCTTTTGTTGTGGCACTTAGCATGAGTCATATCTGATTTTTGTTTACCAAATATTTGTTCTCCGTTTTAAAAACAGAGATCAAGAGTAAAGCTCCTCTGAAGTTTATGAGTAAAGCTGCTCTGAAGTCTAGTGTTCTCCCCACTGTTTGCCTTATCCCTGATAGAGCTTCATCCTGGAGTCTTTGTCTTTTGGGGGGCCATCTCTGCCCAGTGTGAGTCCAGCCACATGACTGAGAGCCCAAATGGCCCTCTTGACCCATGTGTGGGCCTGCTCACGTAACCACAGCAAAGCCTCCTATGAAAGATAAGAAACTTGTTTTCTTTCTTCCAGGCAGCTAATATGCCTGACTCGGAGCTTTTTGAACTCATATCTGAAAACCGATCCATGTCTCGCAAATTGGAGGATTATGGGGAGCAGAAATCCACCTCCATCAGCACAGCAAAGCGCCTGGCTGAGTTCCTCGGGGACCAGATGGTCAAGGATGCTGGGCTGAGCTGCCGCTTTATCATCTCCAAGAAACCAGAAGGCGCTCCTGTTACAGAGAGGTACATGTCAGGGTGGGATCAGGACACAGATTAATCAGAGCACACATCTCAGGCGGGATAGGCTCAGCCTTCCTTCCAAGGCCTTCTGCTTGCCTTGAAGAAGCCTTGTGTCAAAACATGGCCACAATACTTAATATTAATAATAAAAACAACAACAACAATACTTTGCCTTTTCTGTCTCCCAGAGCCATCCCACTTGCCATTTTCCAGGCTGAGCTCTCGGTCCGCAGGCACTACCTCCGGAAATGGCTGAAGAGCCCTTCTCTGCAGGATTTGGATATCCGGACGGTAAAGAGCCCTCTAGAGCTGTGCCCACCTTTGCAAGGGTTATTGGGGCCTTCCCCTCTTTCCCCTCTTTCCCTCTCCTCAGCTTTGATCCAAGTTCACCATCTACTCCTTAGATCCTGGATTGGGACTATTACATTGAGAGGCTGGGCAACACCATCCAGAAAATTATCACCATCCCGGCGGCACTGCAGCAGGTAATTGCGGGTAAAGCCACCGTAAAAATCAAACACACATAATTAAGAGTTTTTGTACTTTTTGGTATTGCCAAACACAGATTAGCTACAATCCTATTGAGGACAGTAGTTCAACACACGGATGTCATGCTAAGCTTAGCCATATCCTTCCATCCCAGACTTGCCATAAAATGTCTGAAGCTCCCCATGCTTTGTGGGTAGGACCAGAAAAGCTTCTGGTTATGGTCCTATTGCCAGACCCAAAACGATGACATCAACTACATAGTCCAACAAACAAACAAACATTTCTTGGTGTCAAAGTTTTTAGGCCTGTTCCTAGGGTTCTTTGGGGCCCTGATTCTGAAAATTACATTGGATAGACCGCATCAGCTCTCGTTTCTTAGACATGATTATCATGGTTTTCTATGGGTAACTGGTATTATTATTATTATTTCCCACATTTGTACCCTGTTCTTCTTACCCCGAAGGGGACTCAGGGCGGCCTTACACAGGCAGCAATTTGATGCCAACACATATAAATTAAAAATAAACAAATACAATTAAAATCTGGTAGATGATATATGCTCTGTATCTCTAAAATTAGAGCTGATCAGGGAAAACTGGTGCCATTTTTGGAACCCGCTGGTCAGCTATACCCAGAAACAGGGCTAACATCTGAGGCACCAAAAGGTGTGTTGGCCAGCGTATTCCTTTGGAGGTCTCATTTTGCATCTAGTTACAGGGCCATAACTAGGTGCTTTTTCTCCCACAAGGCATAGAATGGCCATACATGGGGAAAGGGGACTGCAGAGATTCTATGGTGGGCTGTGGTGGGGCTTTTGGAAGAGAAGGAAGCAGTGCCAGCCCCTGCCGCACCCAGAAAAGGACACAAGGAGGGCTTATCTGTGCATATGTCACTAAGATGCTGCTGGCCTTTTGATGCTTATATTCGTGTTTTCCTTCTTGGGATGGCAAGTGTCAGTGCCTTAGCTGGAAAAGCTAAAATTGGCAGAGCCTCCTATGGAAGTGAGCCTGTGGTGTCTCGGCAGGTCAAGAACCCTGTGCCCCGAGTCCACCACCCCGACTGGCTCCACAAGAAGCTCTTGGAGAAGAACGACATCTACAAGCAGAAAAAGATCAGCGAGCTGTTTGTGAGCTCGGGCAAACGGCAGGTGAGGAGCAGCAGGGCAGGGTCCTAATTACAGGTGGGGTTTGAGAGCCAGGTTTCGACAGCTGCCCCGTTGTTTATAGCCTTCCATGCCAAGAAAGAAAGGAGAAAGAGGAGCGCAACTTTGGTTTGAGTGCTCCACCTTCTGTTTGAAAAGGTCTGCCTTCTGCAAGAGGGCGCCCAGGTAGATTGCACCTCTACTGAGCTCCATGAAGTGGATTTTGATTCCAACACCATCCGCTCTTTACCATCTTTTTTGCAACCTGCTGTCTGACTGGAGCTTCGTGGTGTTGGAAGTCACCTTGGGGACCAGTTTAAGCACAGTAAAAAGTGAAACACACACCTTTGATCTGGTATTTATTGCAGACTAGCTGTCCCCTGCCACGCGTTGCTGTGGCCCAGTCTGTTGATCTAGAAAATAAAATAATGAGAAAGTGTTGGTTTCTAATACAGTATATGTAATTTCTTTCTGCTTGTGGGTAAACAGTATTTCTTGCTGTTTCTTAGTCAGTGTCGATGTGGAGAGTGTCAGGTTTGCCCACCCTGGAACATGCAACATATCATTGTCCTTCTTTAATTTATTTATTTATTTATTTATTTCGCGCATTTCTACCCCACCCTTCTCAATCCCCGAGGGGGGACTCAGGGCGGCTTACAAAAGGCACAGTTCGATGCCGACAGCAACAATACAATAAAACATATATCAAAAGCAATTATAAAACAATTAAAACAATCAAATTATATATCATAATCAACAAAAAAAACCGATCTAATGTTCAGCGTTCACCAGCTCAGAATCCGTAAATTCATTCCACATTGTCAAATCCTATCAATTCTAGTCATCATTGTCCTTTGTCCCTTTCAAATATATGATACTATATCTGTGTGTGTATGAATCATATCTATCTATTTATATCTATAGCTGGATGGCTCTGTCAGGAAGACTTTGATTATGTTTTCTTGCTCTGATGAAGGGAGCTGGATTGGATGGCCTTGAGTATTTTCTGTTGGTCATGGGGGTTCTGTGTGGGAAGTTTTCCCCGATTCTGTTGTTCGTGGGGTTCAGAATGCTCTTTGATTGTAGGTGAACTGTGAATCCCAGTGACTACAACTCCCAAATGTCAAGGTCTATTTCCCCCAAACTCCATCTGTGTTCATATTTGGGCATGTGCCAAGTTTGGTCCAGATCCATCATACCCTTCCAGTATTTTCTGTTGGTCATGGGAGTTCTGTGTGCCAAGTTTGGTTCAATTCCATCGTTGATGGAGTTCAGAATGCTCTTTGATTGTAGGTGAACTATAAATTCCAGCAACTACAATTCCCAAATGACAAAATCATAATTTTTGAGCGATGGCCACTCCTTGTGTTGTGAGGCATTTTGTTGCCAAATTTGGTGTGATTTCGTTCATTGGTTCTTTTGTTTTTAAGGTACTCATTATGCACAGAGCATTTATATATATATAGATGGGAATGAAAATGTTGGTATGGATGAAGTGTCAATTGTTCCGTTGTCATAGACCAACCATCACCTGATCCGTTTTAGACTTACCATGGCCTCCAACCTCCACAAGGGTGGGGGACCTATTAAGATGATCCACCCCAGGAGACTTACGGATCCAAATGGATTCCTGAGGTCTCTTGGGGAGTTTCCTGTCATGGCGGCAGATGATCCTGTTGAAGCCTTGGTCGATCTCTGGAATACAGAGGGGTCTAGGATGGTGGACACAATCACTACTAATCGTCCCCTCCTATGTAGCAGAGCCAACTCGGCTCTTTGGTTTACCAGGAATCTGGCAGTGATTAAACAAGTGAGGCGAAGACTAGAGTACATCTGGTGGAAGTCTCAGGACAAATCCGACCAAACATGAACTAAAGCATTGTTTCTCAACCTTCTTGATGCCGCAGCCCCTTAATACAGTTCCCCATGTTGTGGTGACCCCCAACTTTAAAATTATTTTTGTTGCTACTTCATAACTAATTTTGCTACTGTTATGAATCGTAATGTAAATATCAATATGCAGGATATATTTTCATTCACTGAACCAAATTTGGCTCAAGCACCCGAAACACCCAATTTTGAATACTTGTGGGATGGGGGGGATTGATTTTGTCATTTGGGAGTTGTAATTACTGGGATTTATAGTTAGCCTACAATCAGAGAGCATTCTGAACTCCACCAATGATGGAATTAGGCCAAACTTGGCACACAGAACTCCCATAACCAACAGAAAACACTGTAAGGGTTGAGTGGGCATTGACCTTTAATTTTGGAGTTGTAGTTCACCTACATCCAGAGAGCAATGTGGACTCAAACAATGATGGATCTGGACCAAACTTGGCATAAATACTCAATATGGCCAAATCTGAACACTGATGGAGTTTGGGAAAAACAGACCGTGTCATTTGGGAGATGTAGTTGTTGGGATTTATAGTTCACCTACAATCAAAGGGCATTCTGAACCCAACCAACGATAGGTTTGGGCCAAAGTTCCCACACAGAACCCCCATGTCTTGAAGGGACTCACTGGCATGAAACTCCCTCCAGTTCGCATGCTCTCCCTCACCTGCACATGTGCACCATGCTACCATGCGCCAAGCACGCCTGCTCTCCCCTCCCTGCTGAGTATCAGAAACAGCCCTTCCCTTGGTTGAGAGGCCGGCCATCACAGCAGAGGAGCGCTTTTGGTGGGAGGATTTGCTGTTATCAAAAAGGAAGAGAAGGACAGGTGGTGAGATCTTCAGCCTTCTCTGCTAAAGGGGTTCCTAAGACCATCAGAAATGTATGTTTTCTGTTGGTCTTTGGCGACCCCTCTGAAACCCCCTCACGACCCCACCCCCCAGGCATCCCGATCACCAGGTTGAGAAATGCTGGGCTAGAGCCTCACTTAGGGCTTACTCCCCAGCAATGAGGGCAGCCAGGAAGGCGTTCCCAAATGCCCGCATTGCATCTGCTACAAATAAATGACCAGAGTTGTTCCAAGTGGTTATGGAACTTCTCCATCTCAGTTCCCAGGGAGATTGTTGACCACTCGGTGACTCAATGTAGCGAGTTCGCCCATCACTTTACAGCTAAAGTCGCTCTGATAAGTTGTGACCTGGACGTCAATTTTACCGTAGTGCCAATGGAAGTACCTGAGACATCCTATTTTGTTGGATTTGTTTCAGCATGTTTGGCCTGATCACATGGACAAGGTTCTTGGAGTTCTGAGAGCAACCACCTGTGCTCTAGCTCCTTGCCCTTCCTGGCTTCTCAAACTTGCCGTGGGCAGTTGGCTGAGTGGCTTATGAGGATTTTTAACACCTCGTTAGACCAAGGCCATTTACCACCTAGCTTGAAAAAAGCAATTGTAAGACCTATTTTAAAGAAACCGTTTCTGGATTCCTCTGGATTTAACAATTTTCGGCCTATTTCAAATCTACCCTTCTTGGGTAAGGTTCTGTAGCAGGTGGTGGCTTCTCAATGCCAGGAATTCTTGGATAGAATCCAATTATCTAGATCAGGTATGGGCAAACCCATTCCCGGGAGCCAGGTGCAGCCTTTTGGGCTCTTCTCAGGCCCTCTCTCTCTCACCACCCTATCCTTCCTTCTCTTTCCTTCCTCCCTCCCTCCTCACATCTTTCCCATCCACCCTTTCGTCCTTCCTTCTTTCCCTCTTTCCTCCCTCCATCTCTCTCTTTCCCTTTCCTTCCTTCCCATTTGTCTTTTCTTCCTTCTCTCTTCCCTCCTTCCCTCCTTCCATTCTCTTCCAGCCTTCCTTCCTTCTCTTCTTCCTTCATCCTTTCCTCTTAGAGAATGTTTAGCTGGGGGAGGAGAAGGAAGAGAGATAACATGAGAACCATGTTTCAAGATGAGTGTCCTGTTGAGGAGGGGGGGGAGGGGGAAACTGACTCTCTGTTGCTCTAGAAACCAGAGCACAGGAAGCAATGGATTAAATGACAGGGAAAGTGATTTGACTGAAAAGATCAGGAAGAACTTCCTGAGAGTAAGAGCTGTTGAAGAATGGCCTAGGCTGCCTTGGAGTATGGTGGAGTCTCCTTCTCTGGAGGCTTTTCCGCAGAGGCTGTCATTCGGGGATGCTTTGGTTGTGCCTTCCTGCATGGCAAGGGGTTGGACTGCATGGCCCTTAGAGATCTCTTCCAGCTCTAGGATTCTAGGGTTATATATCGGGAGTAGGCAATACAGGGTCTAATGGATACACTTTTTCTCTTCCATCCACCATCTCATCCTGACCAAGGCCAACCCTTTTGAGATCCTAACGTTTCCTGTCGTTTCTTCACTTTCTGCCTTTGCAAGAGAAGAGGAAGGGGAGGAAAGGGCAGGGAGGGGACTTGGGGAGAACCCCCTCCTGGCCCAGCCACCCCACTCCGGCCTTTCATGCAGCCCCCAAGTTACAAAGTTTGCCCATGCTTGATCTGGATTCTGCGCAGTCTGGTTTTAGGCCCTGTCATGGAATGGAGACAGCTTTGGTCAACATGGTGGATGACCTTCGCAGAGAGTTAGACAGGGGGAGTGTGTCCCTGCTGATTCTCTTGGACATCTCAATACCATCAACCATGGTATCCTTCTGGGTCGGCTCTCCAGAGTGGGTCTTGGGGGCACTGCTTTGCAGTGGCTCCACTCCTTCCTAGAGAATCCAACTCAGGTGGTGGTGCTGGGGGATATCTGCTCAGACCCCTGGCCATTGACTCACAAGGGTCTATTCTTTCCCCCATGCTCTTCAACATCTACATGAAACTGCTGGGCCAGGTCATCTGGAGTTTTGGAGTTGGGTGCCATCTCTACACAGATGACACACAACTCTATTACTCTTTTCCACCTCATTCCAAGGAAGCTCCCCATATCCTTGATGGGTACCTGGCAGCTGTGATGGAGTGGATGAGGGCCAACAAAAACTGAGGCTTAATCCAGACAAGACAGAGGTTCTCCTGGTCAGTTTACCCTATTTAATTATTGGAGAAATGTGAAAGACTCCTCAGTTAGGATTCTTCCCAAGGGATGTTTTGAACAGCTAGTAAAATGCAAAGTCTGGAACACTAGATACCAGAAGCTGCTGGAATTTCACCCCACTCTGTCTGATAAGCCTTCTATCTTGAACTCAAGGGAGAAGCTCCATGAATATATTTTTAATAATTGTGCCCACCATGATAGGCAGGCCATTAATAACTCCAAATTCTCCCACTGGTTTAGACTGTACAAACTTGACCATGATAAGGCTTACCTGACTAGGCTCACATTTCCAAAACTTAGACAAGCCTTCACAGCCCTTCCTTTTCAAAGTATGCCCACAGCAGTGATTGATGGCAGATATACGGGCACCCCTCTGGCTCTTTGTTTATGTGTTTGCGGGGCCCCGGAAATTGAGGATCTGCCTCACTATTTGCTTTTCTGTCCTCTGTACTCTGAACCAAGAACCAAAATCCTGCGGTTTATTCTCCACCTCCTTCAGACTAACACTGTGCCCGAAAAGTTTTTCTGTCTCTTGGCTGACACTAACCCCGTGGTTACTCAAAAGGTGTCTCTTTTTGCCCTGGCAGCACAGAAAATCCGGGCAAAACTAATCTCTGATATTGCAGTTGACTGTGCTGGGGATGCTTTCAACTAATAGTGGCTGTTTATGTAGTTTTAATAATGCTGTATCTATTTGCTTTTACTTGGTTTTACTTGGTTTTTAATTACGCAGGTGAGTCTATACATCACGTAGTATTTTAAAGGTGCATCTTGCCATCGATATATGTAGCATTTTAATGATTTATAGGATTTTATTGTGTATTTTATATTGTATTTAATAATCTGGTGCTCATGTATTTATCTGTTTGACTTGCCTTGTATGTGAAAGACCTATGGTCTAAGCATCGAATAAACTACTCCTTGGAGAAGCAGTTGTGGGGCCATACGGGGTATAGGGAGTGCTCGACTGGTTGCACTCCCCCAAAGGACACAGGTCTGCAGTCTGGGGGTCCTCCTGGACTCAGCATTGACACTTGAAGCTCAGTTATCGTGGTGGCCAGGAGGGCCTTTGCACAGCTAAAGTTTGTGCTCCAGCTGCGACTATACCTTGGAAAGCCTGACTTGGCCACAGTGGTCCATGCCTTAATTACATCCAGAATGGATTACTGCAATGTACTCTATGTGAGGCTGCCTTTGAAGATGGCTTGGAAGCCACAGTTAGTGCAAAGATTAGCAGCTAGATCACAAACTGGAGTTAGCTATAGGGAATGTACCACATCCCTATTAATGCAGCTCCACTGGCTTCCGACAAGTTTCCGGGCCCAATTCAAAGTGCAGGTTATCACCTATAAAGCCTTATACACTTCGGGTAAACCTATTTTTGAGACTGCATCTCCTTCTATAAACTGGCGTGAGTTGTGAGATCTGCTGGGGTGGGCCTTCTCTTGGTCCCACCACCGTCTCAAGTGCAGTTGGTGGGAACAAGAGAGAGGACCTTCTCGGTGGTAGCCCCCCAACTCTGGAATGCCCTCCCTAGAGGGATTAGGTTAGTCCCTTCTCTCCAAGCTTTCTGATCCAGTCTAAAACTCCGACCGTACCTCGGGAAGGCGGATCTGGCCAAGGTGGTCCATGCCTTAGTCACCTCTAGACTGGATTACTGCAATGCACTCTACGTGGGGCTGCCCTTGAAAACGGCCCCGAAATTTCAGACGATCCAACGGGCGGCGGCCAGGTTGCTAACTGGGGCGCCTTACAGGGAGCGGTCAACCCTCCTGTTCAAGGAGCTCCACTGGCTGCCATTCATTTAACGGACCCAATTCAAGGTGCAGGTTCTTACCTACAAAGCCCTGAACGGTTTGGGACCCGCCTACCTGCGTGACCGCATCTCTGTATACGAACCCACACGATCCCTTCGATCTTCCGGGGAGGCCCTGCTCTCGATCCCACCAGCATTGCAGGCGCGATTGGTGGGGACAAGAGAGAGGGCCTTTTTGGTGGTGGCCCCTCGACTCTGGAACTCACTCCTTAAAGACATCAGACAGGCCCCAACCTTGGCAGTCTTTAGGAGGAGCTTGAAGACATGGTTGTTCCAGTGTGCCTTCCCAGAATAATGATCCCATAGCACTTTGTCCTCCAAAGCACTTTACACTTTTTAGATCTGCTCGTATGCCCTTCCACAAACGCCACTATCACCTTTCGTCCATGTCCCAGCATTATTTCCATTTTAACTTTACATTTGGCCTTCCCACTGTTTTTAATTGCGTGTTGTCTTATTGATAATGTTGTATATTTTATTGTCTATGTTTTATTTTAATTGCTTGTACAGTTGTTGTTTGGTTGTATTGTTGTATTCGGCCTCATGTAAGCCTCACCGAGTCCCTTGGGGAGATGGTAGCAGGGTACAAATAAAGTGTTATTATTATTATTATTATTATTATTATTATTAAAAAACATAGCTTTTTTAAAAAGCCTTTGATCTTGAGTAGATTTTAGGGGTTAGTTTGAGGATTTGGTTACCTCACTTTGGCACTAAGCTCGTTAATGGAAAACAACAAGTTTTATCCGTAGTCATAACTGCGTTTTATGAATTTTAAATTTATTATGTGATATTTTATTGATGTTTGCAGCTGTAGTCTCATATTATCGCTTTTATGTCTATGTATTGTTTTATTTTATGTGCTGCACTTTGGGGTGCTTTGTTAGCCGCTCTGAGTCCCTTTGGGGCGCTGGTTGTGGAGTAAAAATAAAATTCATTATTATTATTATTATTATTATTATTATTATTATTATTATTATTATTATTATTAGAAACACAACAAGATGAGTCCACAGCAAACAAGATCACTCTGCTGGCTGTTGTATTGTATCACACATCGGACACTTTCCAAGTGTCTAGGACTGTGTGATATATTGGCGAATAATGCATGCAAATCCCAGCAGGATGCCCTTTTGCAGCTGACAGATGGTAATTTTGTGTTTAAGTGCAGGCCAAGGTCTTTAGGCACTTCACCCAGTATGCCGATCACCACTGGGACCACCCTTACTGGCTTGTGCCAGAGTCTTTGCAGTTCGATCTTTAAATCCTTATATCATGTCAGCTTTTCCAGTTGTTTCTCTTCAGTTCTGCTGTCGCCTGGGATTGCAACATTCATGATCTATACTTTTTTTTTAATACGGTCGTGAGGTCAGGAGTATTGTGCTCCAAAACTCTGTCAGTCTGAATTTGGAAGTCCCAGTGGAGTTTGACCTGTACATTTTCTGTAACTTTTTCAGGCTTGTGATCCCACCAGTTCTTTGTCACAAGCAGATGGTATTTGTTGTTGTTGTTGTTGTTGTTGTTAAGAGAACCCCATGATAGAATCACCTTATGGTCACCGTATGTCAGGAACAACAACAGCTGCTATCATTTGGACTGTACTCCCCACAGGTCCCTGCCAACCTGCCCCAGGAAGAGGACACTCCTTGCACCCAGGTCACTGACATAGAGGATTTTGGAGTCTCCAAGCCTCTTCAGAAAGGAGTCCCATTGTCCAGCAAGCGGAAGCGGATCCCCACGGCAGAGGAGAGCCAGCCGCAGTCCCAGAACTTGGAGCTCACCCTGTCCTGGAGGGAGATCCTGGGCCCACCACCTCCCATTGGCACCACCAAGGTAAAGTCGGCTGTGGTTTGCACCTTGGCTGGCCTCTTTCATGCCACAAGGAGCATTTTTATAAGTTTGCATTCCCCAGCTAGGTGGGAATAAGGAGAAGCATCCTGTAATTACTCTCTCCCAGTGGCACTGACCCAGTGGAAAGGGACAGCATGACATACAGGGGAATGGATGTGCTGGACTTGAAGTAGACCCTCTTCTTTCCCATCTTGCTCTCTTGCAGGAGGAGCGCTTGGCATGGCTTTGCTTCCACAAGAAGAAGTGGGAGCTGCAGGCCCGTCAGCGCCAGGAGCGCCGCAAGAGGCGCCGCTTGGCTGACGGCGAAGCAGCGCTCAGCGGAGGCCTGATCCGCGTCGGAGCCACCAAAGGCCTCAGCAACTACCTGCTCCGGACGGCACGCAGTATCCTTGACCTGCCGTGGCAGATAGTGCAGGTAAAAAGAGCTTTGATGGACTCTGATGATTTGTATGTGTTCCTGCCTTTCCATCAACCTGCCTGGAGCCTTGGGGGGAAAGGTGGACAAGAAACCAAATCTATTTATCCCTCTATAATTTTGTAGAAAGGTAAATAAAATGAGCCTAAACTTTATGAGGATTTGTGACTAAAGCCAAGGTGGTAGCTGCACGGGGGGTGGAATGAGGGAAAACTGTTACATGGGTGGTGGGTTGTCTATTTATGTGTATGTGTACATATTAGTATATGTGAATTGTAGGTGAATTATAATTATATTAAAATAAAATATTTTTTTAAAATGGGGAAAAGTTAACCAAATATATGACAGTTGTATAATTCTGGTTGTCAAGGTCACAGCAGAACATCATACTCTCCCTTCCCTTGGCCTACGTTTCATTATGATAGCTGAGATGGTTCCCCATTTCCCTTGCTCTATTGAAAATGAGCTTCTGCATCTTAATGAAAACATCCAAGCATCTTTATATCTATGCTGTAACACAATACAGGAGGCCAGGTTCTGTAATTGCCTTCTGCTATCAGAGAACATTGCGTCCCAAGCCCCCACAGCTGTGCCTTATTTCTCCTAGGTTTGGAGAGCACCATTGGTCCTTGTATGTCGTCATCTTGTTCTTTTCCATCAATGTCAAGGACCACTTGAAGGCTTTCATGGTCAGATTCACGTGTTGCATGTTTTTCAGGCTGTATTGCCATTTTTGAGAATATTCTTTCCTGATGTTTCATCTGCCCCTATGGCAGGCAACCTCAGAGGTTGTGAGGTCCTCCATAGATGCAGGCAAAATGTCAGGAGAGAATGCTTCTGGAAAACAATAATAATAATAATAATAATAATAATAATAATAATAATAATAATAATAAACTTTATTTGTACCCTGCTACCATCTCCCAATGGGGACTCGGAGCAGCTTACATGGGGCCAAGCCCGAACAAGAATGACACTATAACAATACAAATTGCAATAAAATAACAACATAACATTAAAATAAAACATCAAAGCATATAAAACAAGATACACAGAACATAGGAACTAAACATAATAACAAAATGACAGAGGGCGGGCTGCATGTACATAAAATGATTTTAAAAACCACGGGTGAGATAAGGGGGCAGAACTAATTGTAAGGGAGAACTCATAGAGAGATAGGAAAATAAGCAAACCTATGTACATTGGGGGGGGGGCATACAGCCCAAAAAACTTATAACAACCCAATGTCAAAGACCACCCCACGGTCCAGTTGCTCTATTCTTGATCCCTTTACCTTGCTTTGTGCTCCTAGATTGCTGAGACCAGCCAGCCAGGCCTTTTCCGACTCTGGGCTGTGATTGGGAATGACCTGCATTGCCTCAAGTTGAATGTCCCCCGAGTCTTTTATGTCAACCAACGGGTCCCCAAACCTGAAGAGGGCCCTGTCTATAGGAAGGTTTGTAGAGTTGTAAATGGAGTTGAATGGAAAGCCAGATTGCTTCAAGTCCAATATTTAGACCCAAGATGAAAGGCTTCAGTCAGGCATGTAGCTGGGAAGGAGGGGGGGCTTGAGGGGCTTCAGCCCCCCCCCCCCCCCCCCCCCCGGAATTCTCATGGTGGTTCGCGAAAAGGCCTTACTGCTGCATTATTTAAACTGTTATGTTTATTCATATCATGATCTGATCACCATACACAATATATCCCATATGCATGGGGGTATTGGGGTAATGATACAAAAGGTTTGCTAGGCTAGACCCTCTTTCACTCAGACTCAGCCCCCCCTCCCCCCGAAACCCCCCTGAAAAAAATTCAGCCCCCCGCCGAAACGAAATCCTGGCTACGGTCCTGGCTTCAGTCTTATAAAGGCCCCAGACCCTTTCTAATCTGGGAAGCCAAGCAGGGTCAGCCCTTGTCCAGACTTGGGTGGGAGGCCACCCAAGAATACCAGGTAGTCTAGGTGGTATTTCAAAGGAAGGAAGTGGCAAAACCACCTTTGAGGATTCCTCAAAATCTATTCATGCTAACTGCCTTCTCTTGGCAGGTGAATAGGATTCTCCCTCGTTCCAACTTGGTTTACAACCTCTATGAATATTCTGTGGCAGAGGATATGTATCAAGAGCACATCAATGAAATCAATGCCAGTCTCTCAGCCCCCGATATCGAGGGGGTCTACGAAACTCAGGTAACTTCCTTTGCCTGAGAATGAAACTGAGGATTGTATTCCATTCCTGAACTGTTCGAAGGCATCTTGCAGTCCTCTGTCGCTATACTGTAGGGTGGTTCACCCATGGTTTATCTCCCAGGTACCCTTGTTGCTACGGGCCTTGATCCGCCTGGGCTGTGTCTGCATGGTCAACAAGCACTTGGTGAGGCACCTCACGGGCCGAGAGGCCGAGACCTTTGAGCTGGAGCACCTGGAGATGCGCTCTTTGGCGCAGTTTGGTTACCTGGAGCCAGGTAAGAAGGCATCCTGCTGCTCTGAAGGCTGAGATTCTTGGCCACATTCTGTTCTGATACAGAGCTCTGTTTTGTACCTTCAGGGAGCATCCGGCACATCTACCTATATCACCATACCCAAGGTCACAAGGCCCTGTTTGGCCTCTTCATCCCATCGCAGCGCAAAGCGTCCGTCTTTGTCCTGGATACAGTATGTTTTGGGAGCAGGGGAAGGATTAGGCTCATCCCATGGGCCTAGAGACCTCAATCTAGAGCAGGGGTTCTCAAACTTTTTCAGCCACAGAGTCCTTTTTGAAGCAAAAGTTTCTTGTGGAGCCCCAGAGAAATGTTTATATATTATGCAGAATGTATATATATCGGACTTGGACAAACTTTTTAACCAAAATAAATTTAATAGTATCTCAGTGGAAGACCCCAGGGGCCATCCAGTCCAATCCCCTTCTACCATGCAGGAAAACCACAATCAAGCACCTCCAACAGATGGCCACCCAGCCTTTGTAGTGGCAGTAGTAGTAGTAAGAATAAGAATAAGAAGTTCTGTGGCATTGAAAATTTCTGCCGCTTCTCTAGTTGTTTTGCTTCCAGTTGCCCTATAGGCACATGCCCTGGTTGCTCAGCAGTGAGTCCTGGGTCCTATAGCCCATTTGTCGATGGGTGCCCAAGAGAAACACTCGCCGCGGTCCTTATTATCCTGCGCGACATCCGGGCCAGTATAGATTTCTTTAGAGTTTGTTTCACTATATTTAAATGGGTTGGGTGCACTTAGTTCTGCTTCTCAGTTGAGACCACTCTGGCTTGGTTGAACCTACTGGTAGTTTACACTACTGTCAGCAGAGCTCTCAACATCATAGAAGCAGTTCACACACACACACCCAGGCAATGACAAGGCAGCACCCGATGGGGGATTTAAAGATTGAACTGCAAAGACTCTGGCACAAACCAGTAAAAGTGGTCCCAGTTGTGATCGGCACACTGGGTGCAGTGCCTAAAGACCTTGGCCTGCACTTAAACACAATTGGCACTGACAAATTTACCATCTGTCAGCTGCAAAAGGCCACCCTCCTCAGATCTGCACACATTATTTGCCGATACATCACACAGTCCTAGACACTTGGGAATACAACAGCCAGCATAGTGATCTTGTTTGCTGTGTATTAATCTTGTTGTGTTTCAAATAATAATAGCAGAAACCCCAGGGGCCATCCTGTCTGACTCCCTTTTGTCATGCAGGAAAAGAGCAGTCAAAGCACCCCCTGAGCAGTGGGAGAGAGATAGGGTTTTGGAAGCAACCAAGGCGAGGGAGAAAGGATCTGCGTGGCGAGGAAGATGAGGAAAAAAGGCTTTTGGGGACGAGGGGAAGGCGAGGAGCAGGAAACAGGAGGGAAAGTTTGGAGGGGGGAGGAGGAGGGAACAGCAGAGCCCCTCAGAATGCTTCATGGAGCCTCAAGGGCTCAGCGGAGCACACTTTGGGAACCGCTGATCTAGAGATAAAAGCAAGCTATAAATAAATACATATAATCACAATAATATTAATTAGGTCCGGAGTAACCAGATGCCCAACCTCATCAACATGTACTCAGTGGAGCGCAATGCAATGGCAGAGAAGGTGGGCCCAGACCTCCTCCCACCCGACAAGCACACCTTCGAAGTGCGAGCCGAGATAGACCGCAAGACTATCTACAGGGCAATCCAGCGCCTCTTGTTGGCCTACAAGGTAAGACTGGAGAGTTCAGGGCTGCCACCTGCTTCTTGCCTGGCCCATAGAAGAGTTTGCCAAGAGCACAGATTGCACAGTTGGGTGCTTTATCGCGAGTTGGCATGTCCTCGGCCTCTTGGGCATTTCCAAACCCCTTTGACCATCTTTGTGCCAGGATGAGCGCAGAGGGCCCACCCTTATTGCTGTCCAGTCCAACTGGGACCTGAAACGGCTGGCCAGCGGCATGCCCATCTTCGAGGAGTTCCCGCTGGTTCCTGTCCAGGTTGCCGACAACATCAACTACGGCATCCTGGACTGGCAGCGGCACGCCGCCCGGCACATGATTCGACGCTACCTCAACTTGGACACCTGCCTGTCTCAGGCCTTCGACATGAGCAGGTGAGCATTGAGGGGCGTGCACTGAGGTTTTTGGAGCTAGAGGGACTTTGGTTTTGGAAGCATAGAGAACCATGAGGGACTACTGTGGCTCTTGAGTTCAGCATCTGAAGCTAGAACCTGAAATGCAGCCAACAAAGGTGGCATAGATTTATGCCAAGCTAGAGGGATCTTACATCCTATATGTGGGTGTTATGTACTGAGAAAATGATGTGTTATCCAGTTTCACATTCTGTGGACACCAGATCTCATCTGACCTTGGATGCTAAGCAGAGTCATCCTGGTTACTGCCAGCCAATCCCATGCACCTTTGGCTGTGTTTCAGACAAAGGAACTGGCAAAACCACTTCTAAGGGTACCTTGTTTACAAAATTAATGGGGTCACCATAACTTGACTTGAAGGCACAGTCTTTGTTTGCCTGCATATACTCAGAGGGCCCTTACTCATTCCACCTCCTTTGTTTTCTGGAGTTTATCTCTTTCTGCACCAATCTAGATCTCAGAAGTTTGGCCTTCACAAAGGCCTTGTGACAGATTAGCTGAAAGCAGTAGGTCCCAGCCTTAGGCCTTGACGACGCTGTATCCAAATAGGGGCCAAGCTGCATACACACATTGCTCCTCTCCACAGGTATTACCACATTCCCATTGGGAACCTTCCAGATGACGTCTCCACCTTTGGCACGGACCTCTTTTTTATATAATATGATTTTTATTGATGAGTAACATAAAAGACATTAAAAAAAAAGACTTTGTACACACAATAATTAAAATATTGTGATTTTGATACAGCGAACATCAAAAGAAGAAAGTGTAAAGATTAGAAAGAATAACAGCGAGAGAGAGAGAAATTATACATAACACTGACTTTTCAATCCAATTTCCTGTTGTTGCTGTTTCTTCTGTTTTCCAAAATCTTGCTATGCATATTCTAGCCGCCATGGTAAGATAAAATAAGATCTTTTCTCCATTTTTATTCAATTGAAAATCTGTCATACCCAGCAAAAATACTCGGGTTTGAACTCAAATTTTATTTGAAAAATTTCTTCTATTTTTTTATATATGTCATACCAAAACTTTTTAACCCTCTTGCATTCCCACCACATGTGTATAAAAGAGCCTATATGCTTCTTACATCTCCAACAATTCTTGATTATTTTCCCCTTGCTGTATTTTGTTATCTTCTCTGGGGTTAAATACCACATATAGTACATCTTGTACCAGTTTTCTTTAATTTCTACAGCATAAGTGTATTTCATTTTTTTCACCCAGATTTCTTCCCATTTCCCTAACCTAATTGTATGACCATTACCTTTGCCCATTTACTCATGACTTCTTTAATTTGTTCAGTTTCTGTTGCCCATTGTAATAATTGTTGATAGAGTCTCTTTATCAATTTATTGTCAATCTTTATGATTTTGTCCCAGAACGTTTCTTTAACTTCAAATCCCTTTTGTTATCTTCTCTAAAGTTCTCTTTAATTTGCCAATATTAAAGCCAGGTCATCTTTGGCTCTATTGCTTGAATCTCCTCCAATGTTTTTAGTTCTATACTTTGGTTGTTAATTTTTAACAGTTGCTTATATGTTGACCACTTATTACTGGGCATCTCCCTTCTTTGGTTAGCTTAATTTGATGAGTACCACATTGGGGTTTTTGTGTACCATTTGTCCTTATACTTATCCCATGTTTTAATCAATGCAGCCCTAACAAAGTGGTTATTAAAGTTTTTTTTTCTATTTTTACTTTATCTTTCCAAAGGTAACTGTGCCAGCCTCTGCGTAGATCTTCCTCCTCCAATGCCAAAATCTTCCTTTTCTCCAACATTGTCCAATCTCTTATCCATGTCAGTACAGCAGAGTCATAATAAAGTTGCATGTCTGGTAGACCTAAGCCTCCTCTTTTCTTCTCGTCTTTTAAGTTTTGCAGGCTTATCCTTGCTTTCCTATTTTGCCACAAAAAAATATTTATATATATTTTGCCAGCTATCTAATGTTATTTTAGATCTTAGGATAGAGATAGTTTGAAATAAATACAAAACTTCCGGTAGTATACACATTTTCACAATTGATATTCTTCCCATCAGGGAGAGATTTAATCGTTGCCATCCTGTCATTTTTTCTTTAATCTCTCGCCACTTTTTTCATAATTATTTTTTAGTAACTGCCCATTACTCCCTGTGACTTGAATTCCCAAATATTTTATTCTTGTTTCCACCCTTATCCCCGATTTTTCTTGTAACTCTTCTTTTTTCTTCTTTTTCATATTTTTTGTGAGGAACTTAGTCTTATCCTTATTCATCTTCAGTCCTGCCACCTCCCCAAATGATTCTATTTCTCTCCACCTTCTATCCCATTGGTCGATCGGGTCTTCCATTATACAGACCATATGGTCCGCGAACGCTAGTGTCTTATATTTGTTTTGTCGCACAGTCAGTCCTTTTAATTCTTGATTGTTTCTTATGCTTTCCAATAAAGTTTCTAGTGTCATATTAAAGTTCAACGGAGACAGCGGGCATCCTTGCCTTGTCCCCTTTTTTATTTTAAATTCTGTTGTTAATCGCCCATTTATTATAATTCTTGCTGACTGTCTAGCATAAATTACTTTAATAGCATTTATAAAATAATATCCCATATCCATTTCTTTTATCAGTTACATTATAAATTGCCAGTTAACCTTGTCAAAGGCTTTTTCAGCATCCCAAAACACCTCTTTTTGACTGTTTTCCATAGTATTTTATAACATTTAATATTGTTCTTATATTATCCTTAATACATCTTCCAGGCAAGAAGCCCGTTTGGTCTTCATGGATCCTCTCTTTTAATACTTCCTTTAATCTAGCGGTTAATATTCCCGTAAATATTTTATAATCGGTATTTAATAGGGATATCGGCCTGTAATTTCTAATCTTTGTATCGTCTGTATTTTCTTTTGGTATTACTGTTATATTTACCGATGTCCATGATTCTGGTATTTTTTTCCTCTATGGCTTTGTTCATTACTACTTTTAGAGGTGTTATCAAGTTTTCTACGACTATTTTATAATATTCTGCTGAGAAGCCATCTGGCCCTGGTGTTTTATTTGTCGGGATATTTTTAATTATCTTTTGTATCTTTTCATCTGATATTTTCTTATTCAATATCTCTCTTTGTTTCTCCGAGATTTTTTTAATTCTTTGATTTCCTAAATATTGCAATATTTTTTTCTTTCGGGATATTATCATCTGCATATAATTTTTGATAATAGTTCTTAAACTGTCTCTATTTCTTTTTGTTGTAGGAAACTTTTTCCTTCTTCTATTTTATTTATTTGTTGTTGTTTTTTCTTTGTTATTTTCCATGCCAACCACCTTCCTATCTTATTTGAATTTTCAAAGTATTGCTGTTTTATATATCTTAATTTTTTCTATTCCTTCCAATTGTAGTGTGTTTCTTTGATTTTTAAGTATCTCCAATTGTGCTTGTAATTTTCTATCTTGTGGATTTCTCTTTAATTTATTTCACAATTTCTTCTTCAATTTTTTTATATTCAGCATTTTTAATCCTGTTCTTTTTAACATTTTGTTGGATAAAGTGTCCCTTCATATAGGCTTTGGATGCATCCCATATTACCTCAATGGGGGTATCCGGTTCCTTATTAATTCTAAAAAAACCTCATTTAATATTTTTTAAATACTTCCTGTTCTTTCAATCATTTTATTAATTGGTAATTGAGCCTCCATCTGTATGTCATTTCTCTATCTTTGGTGATATCTATTATTGTTTCTAGCGGTGCGTGGTCTGAATTTATTCTCGCTAGTATTTTTTATTTTGTCACATTCCTGACTAGTTCTTTTGTTGCTCACATCATATCTATTCGTGACCATGATAGGTGACGATTTGAATGAAATGTGTAGTCTATTTCCTTATTGTGGTAATGTCTCGAAATGTCCTGTAGTCCTAATTCCTCTTTTAGTAATTTAAAGTTTCTTGGTAGTTCTCCCATAAAGGGTGGTTTTGTTTTCTTTTTTCCATTTGATTTGTCTATTGATCCATCTAGGACATCGTTGAAGTCACTCATGATTATTAGATCATCATATTCCTGTTCTAGTATCTTTGCACCTAATTGTTCCACAAATTTTGTTTTAGTTCCATTTGGTTCATATATGTTACAGAGTAATAGTTTCCTTTCTCCAAATTCTATCATTATTCCTAACATTCTTCCTTCCTGATCTTTGAATACTTGTTTGGCTGGAATTTTTTCATTTACGTAGGTTACCACTTCTCTTTTTTCCCCCACAAGACGCATAGTATGTTTTGTCTAGGTTTTTTTTAGTTAAGTGTGATATATGTTTGTGACAAATGTGTGTTTCCTGTAAAGAAATCACGTCCTAGTGTCCTTTTTAAAATTTGATTCCATATTTTCTTTCTTTTATTTGAGCTGTTCAGCCCATTTACATTATTTGAGTATATTTTAATTTTCTGTGCTATTTTCTTCTCCAATTTCTTCCTTGCCCTCTAAATGGGCCATCACTATGTCCTGGGTCATTTCATAATCATTTGGGGATTTTTCTCTTGCTCTTTTCTTTTGTCTCCCCTCACTTTCTTGACGACGCTGTATCCAAGTAGGGGCCTAGCTGCAAACACACATTGCTCCTCTCCACAGGTATTACCACATTCCCATCGGGAACCTTCCTGATGACGTCTCCACCTTTGGCACGGACCTCTTTTTCTCCCGCCACCTCCAACGCCACAACCACCTCCTGTGGCTATCTCCCACCGCGCGTCCAGACTTGGGCGGCAAGGAGGCCGATGACAGCCGCCTAGTCATGGAATTTGATGAGAAAATCTCTGTCGAGATCAACCACCCGGGCTGCTATTCCACAGGTGAGGGGTGTTCTTGCGGCATTGCCCGCGAAAACAGGATTTCTTTTCAAAAGAAGACACGTCACTTCTTTGCCCCTTTTCTGCAGTGTGTGTGGAGCTGGACATCCAGAGCCTGGCAGTGAACACCATCCTGCAGTCCCACCACGTCAACGACATGGAGGGGGCCGCTAGTACCTGTGTCAGCTTTGACGTGATCCAACAGGCCTCGCTGGAGGACATGGTCACGGGCAACCAGGCCGCCAATGTCCCCGCCAGCTACGACGAGGCGGCCCTTTGCTCCAACACCTTCCGGTGCGTGGCTTGGCAGGGACGCCCTTCCTACTTGCTAGCTAGCCATTCTCTAGCCATGAAGCAAAGGAGGGACTTCCTTTGTATCTTCTTTCAGGATCTTAAAGAGCGTGGTGGTCAGCTGGGTGAAGGAGATCACACAGTACCACAACGTCTATGCTGACAATCAGGTGATCCACTTCTACCGCTGGCTGCGCTCACCCACTTCCCTGCTGTACGACCCGGCACTGCATCGCATGCTGCACAACATGATGAAGAAGCTCTTCCTGCAGTGAGTTTTCCCAAATGCTGGTGGAATGCAAAATGCTGGAGACCGGAAGTGTTTAGGGATTTGTAATATTTGCAAATCTAAAGACAACAGAAGTACAGCCAACCCCCAAGTTACAAACAAGAGAGGTTCTGTAGGTTTCTTCTTAAGTTAAATTTGTTTGTCAGTTGGAACAGGTACATTTTTAAGTGTAACTTCAGCCATATATACACACATACACACAGCTTTGAATAGCACAGAGGAGAGCACCTTTGTGGAGTTTATTTTTCTGCCTGTTCCCATTCAGAAAATTTCACCTCACTTACTGTCCCTATGAGCACTGGATTTTGAATAATGTGGTATGTTGTGGAAACAAGGATTGGTGATAAAGCTTCAGTGGAGACACTTTTCCCCCATGATAATAACTCTTTTGAGAGTGAATCTTGTGGCAGAATGTAAAATAAACCACGTGTAGTTCATATTGGATCAACCCACACATTACCTTGCCAAGGAAAACAAATTATGCCATGCAGATTAACAGTAAAGAACAAGTAGTTTACTTTTCTTAATTCAAAACAACACCTACAATACGATCAGTTGCATCAACTCACCACATGTCCTTTCAGAGAGTTTTAAAATGGTATTTCTTTGTCCATATGAGAGACCGTCTTTCCAGCATCCAAGAAGCAAATCAGTCTATCTCTTTGTACTTCTATCTTCCAGCTGTCTCTGTGCACTTGCATAGCTTGAGCCTGAACAAAATAGCAACGATATCCAAAAGTTCCAGGCTCAGTAAGCACATCGTGCATTGCCCGACCAATTAGCTTCATGCATCTTATTTTGCAGTTACACAAACACACACACACTGATTGCTTGCATGCTCTAACGAATTTCCCTTCTGAGGGGTAGATTTTTCTTCCTTCCTGTTGTCTCAGCCCCATTCTTAACTATGAGTGATTTGTAACTTGGGGACTGCCTGTATAGCCCAAAAGTCACATCTTTTTAAGAAGTCCCACTTTCTTTTGTTCTTGGTCTCAGACTCGTGGCAGAGTTCAAGCGCCTGGGCTCCTCAGTGGTGTACGCCAACTTCAACCGCATTGTCCTGTGTACCAAGAAGCGCCGTATTGAGGATGCCCTTGCCTATGTGGAATATATCACCAACAGGTACGACAGAGGAAGAACAGTGAGGAGGAACCAGGGAAAGGTACTTGACATGTTCTTTCTTTCTAACTGATGGGAAAGGGGCCTCATGGGTCGCTGCCATCCTTTCTTTTCCAGCATCCACTCCAAAGAAATCTTCCATTCGTTGACAATTTCCTTCTCGCGCTGCTGGGAGTTCTTACTTTGGATGGACCCCGCCAATTATGGGGGGATCAAGGGCAAAGTCCCATCCCGGATCCACTGTGGGGAGGTAAGGGACCGTTTGTGGCCATCTGATTTCTCTTGGACGGCAAGGAATGGGGAAGAGAGGTCCCTCTTTGCCTGTAGGAAGAAGAGGTGTTCATCCCTCTTCAAGAGAATGGGATGAGGAAGAAAGGCAAGATCTGTATCATGGCCCCCCTTCACTTGAAACTCCTTGTTTCAGGGGACAAACAGCAAGCCGGCTGCTGACGCTGAAGGTAGTGAAGACGAGGAAGAAGAGGACAAGGACGAAGATAATGGAGCAGAGGAGGTGGAGGAACTGCTGGAGAACAACTGGAACATTGTGCAGTACTTGCCCTCGGCTGCGTCGTGTCAGACCTACTTCCTCATGATTGTGTCAGGTGAGTTGTAGACCTGAGTGCTCACTTCTTGGGGCAGGAGCAGGGAAGGCCTCAAGGTCTGGGTCCCATTGTTGCTTTCTCCAATGTCCCCTCTGCAGCCTACATTGTTGCTGTCTACCACAGCCTGAAGGAGGAACGGCAGCGCAACGGCCCTGGAAGCACTCCGGTCAAGAGACTTGCTAGCAGCCAGGTTTCCCAGGAACCTGCAGGGGAGCGTGGTGCCCTGCCAGGTGAGTGCCCCAAGCTTGCTCTCCGCAAAGGTCTCCCATTTCCATATGTTTGCCTGGTCTAAAGCAGTGTTTCAATCTTGTGGTCTCTGTGGAATGCACACTGAAGGTACTCTGATGCCTGAGGGCAGCAGCTCCGGAAAGGTCTAGAAATAATTAACTTGAGTATAGCCCCCGCCCTTCTACTCCCAGTCACATGCCCAGCCCCAGTTCCTTTTTCTGCCACAGAAGTAGCAGCTCCATACTTCTCTCTCCCATCGCTACTCTGCTTGTTTTCCCTTTGTTTCGGATACTCGATGGCATCCAGCTTCAAGAGGTGTGCGGTGTGCAGGGGGAACTTTCCCGACACTGACGCCCACGACCGCTGCCTCCTCTGTATGGGGGAGGCACACCCGGTCTCCTCTTGCGCAGCCTGCAAGGCGCTCACCCCGCAGGTGAGGAAACGGAGGGAGACCTGCCTGAAAGCGCTGCTTTACGAGCGCGCGCTCTTCCCTCCGCCCTCCACTCTCCTTCCCTCCTCTTCGGCACCCTCGGCACATACCGTGTCGCCGTCTCCTTGCCCCTCTTCCTCGCCTCAACTTCAGCCATCTCCCAAGCGGGTGCACGATGACTCCTCGGATCGCGTCACCCCCTCCAAGCCTAAGAAAAAGAAGGGAGGAGGAGCCTTCCTCAGGCCGGCACACCTCACGGCAGCCTCGAGCCTCGCTGGACCCGCCCACCCCGGCGCAGAGGCCACGCCACACTCTGAGCCCAGCGCCTCAGGCCTCGGGCCCAGCTGCACAGGCCTCAGGCCCAGCAGCGGTCCCGGCCTGCCCCCCCCCCGATGCGGGGGCAGCTGCCCACCACCACGATGCCACACCATCGCTTCTCCCCCTGGCTCCCTCTGCGGAGTTGGAAGCCCAGGCTGCCATGGGACCAGAACTCATGGAGGTAGGCCCTCAGCAGTTTTCCTCCCGAGACCCAGCGTACTGGGCCCGGACGGCTGCGCCTCCTTTCTCCCCCTTCTGATCCCCGAGTCCTTCTCAGTATGCCCTCCCAATGTTTGCGTCCCCTCCCAGAASCGGCTGCCCTACCYGCWGCCTTTTAACCTGGCATGGGGCATCGGGAGGGACTTCTCACCCTAGGGACCAGTCCATCCACCGGTCCCCGGGGGGCCGGACCTACATTTATGCCCCAGTCTTGGTGCCTGAGCACAACCCTCCTCCCCCACCGGCCTTGTCGGCCCAGGGCCACACTCCCTCCTGCCTTACTCCCCCTGACACCTACGAGGAAGACGCCACTCCCTATGACTTTTTCTCCTACTCTGGATCCCGCACCTCCTCCTCTATCCTGCTTCAGGAGCCCGCAGCCATTACGCACCGGCCTCCACCGGATGCTGCTGTCTTCATTCACTGCCCTTCTCAACCGCCTTTCGAGGGCGTTCCCCTGGCTGCTCCACTCCAGCCGGTTGATGACTTCTTCCCCTCAGATGAGCAACAGCAGGCACCGCCCCCATCGGCGGTCCTCCTGGGCATTCCCTACCTTCTGCAGCTCACGAAGACCCCCGACGTTTCGCCTGCCTCCGTTAACCCTGTTTCTCGAAGGAATTACGTGCTCTACAAGATTGACTTTGCTTCCGCCCCTTGGGTCGCGCAGCCCCCCAAACCCAACACAGTAGTTGCCGACATGACTCCGGGCAAGCGCTTCAAACCTCACAGCACTCCTTCCGACAAGGAGGGCAGGAAACTGGTTTCCATGGGCAAGAAGGTGTATACAAGCGGGGCCTTCATGACCCGTCTCGCCCACTACGAAGCGTGCTTTGCAGCATACTAGACCTACCTCTGGAAACTCATGACCTCCTATATCCCCTGCCATCCGACCGAGCAGCGCCCCCTGGCGGAGCCGATTCTCCAAGAAGCTCTCACGGTCTCGCGGGCCCAGAAGAATATGGCCAAGCACACTGCTGATTCCGCAGGCCGCCTCTTCGCCACCTCCACGGCCATCCGCCAACACGCCTGGCTGCGAGCTTCTACGCTCTTGGAGGAGGGAAGAGCACTCGCAGAGAACCTGCCCATCCATGACTTGGGCCTCTTCAACCCAGACATGAACACTCAACTGAAGGAGACACAGGAAGTCCGTCAGGCGGCCCACAAGTTTGGTTACACAACCCAGAGATCTGCTCGCCACCCAGGTTGGTGGTCTGCTTCGACTACTTTCACCCGAAGACCCTACCAGTCGGGCAACAGGTCCTTCTCTCAGGCCTCCCTCACCCAAACTCCCAGGCAACAACAGGCAGCTTACCCTTCTGCTCAGACCAAACCTCGTTTTCAGGGGAGGGGCCGCCGCCGCTTTTAGCGCCACTCCATCTCCTTCACCCTCACCTGTCCCTCCTTCCCCCTTGTGGCACAGAGATGCCCTACCATTTATGTTGGATTTTGAGGACCTTGAGCAGCACCAACTCGTGCCTGGGGTACAATTTCAGTTTGGGTCGCTGTTAGCACCCTTTTTCCCGGCCTGGCAGGCCATTACCACGCATAAGTGGGTCTTGGAGGTGGTCCGACATGGCTACTCCATTGACTTCTTTAGCCCCTACAGGTGTGGTGAAACCGACCCACCCTTCCCAAGGCTTATGGGAGGAGGTATCCTCTTTATTACTGAAGAGAGCGATCGTCCCGCTACACCCCAACACTTTTTGTCAGCCCTTTTTTCTGTTATTTTCTGTTCGCTAAGAAGGGAGGGGGCTGGTGGGCCATCCTCGACCTCCGCGCCTTTAACACTTACGTTTATTCCCCCATTTTTTGAATGATAACACTCCCCACCATCCTCCCTCATCTCCCCTCAGGGGTGTGGTTTGCCACGATTGACCTCCGGGACACCTATTTCCACATTGTGATCTCCCCCTCTCACCATAGGTATCTCTCCGTGATCGGCAGCCACAGCGGCCATGCACTTCGTGAACACCCTGGGGTCAGTCAAAATGCCAAAGGGGAGGACCCGGTACGAAAAAGCGGCCAAGCTTTTTCGTACCGGGTCCTCCCCTTTGGCATTTTGACTGCCCCCAGGGTGTTCACGAAATGCATGGCCGCTGTGGCGGCCTTTCTACGCACTCACGGCGTCACCGTGTTCCCATATATTGATTACTGGCACGTCATGGCCCACTCGCACCACTTTCTCCTTCATGATATTTGCTTCACCCTCTCATTCTGCAGGACCTGGGCCTTGTCGTGAATCACACCAAGCCACGACTCACCCCCACAGGGACCATACAGTTCATCGGAGCCGCTCTCGACTCCACCTCCCGTACCGCCTTCCTTCCAGAGGACCGCTTCCGGACTCTACACACGTCCATCTTGGCTGCTAGCCGCCTTCCCTCAATCCCTGCATCGCATGTCCAGTCCATCCTAGGCCATATGGCATCCATGGTAGCTGTCACCCCCTTCGCTCATCTCCACATGCGCCCCCTCCAGTCCTGGTTCCTTCGACGCTTTGACCATCTCCAGGACTGCCCAGGAACCCTCCTCATCCTTCCTGACCACGTCCGCCTTTCCCTCCGGTGGTGGCTCCGATGTTCAACAGTCTGCGTGGGCATGCCCTTCCATCCGCGGGATACCACCTGTACGCTGATGATGGACGCCGCCCTCATGGGTTGGGGGGCGCACACCGGCTGCCACTCGACACAGGGTGTCTGGTACCAGAAGAGCGCCACTACCACATCAACCGCCTGGAGATGCTCACCCTCTTCCGGGCCCTCCAGACATTCCAGGACCTCCTCGCCGGCCGCACCGTGCAGGTGTGCACTGACAACACCACTGTTGTGTGGTGTGTGAACAAGCAAGGGGGCATTCACTCCCGTTCCCTCCTCGCGCTCACCCTCACCATATGGCATTGGTGCATTGCCAGGGGCATCAACATCATAACCGTCCACGTCCTGGGTCGGTCCAATGACCAAGCCAACCTCAGCAGGTCCATCTCGCCGGGACACGAATGGTCCCTTCACCCGGATGTCGCCGGGGACTTGTTCTGCCTCTGGGGGGTTCCGACGATAGACCTCTTCGCCATGCCGGACAACACGAAATGCGACCTCTTCTGCTCCTGGGGGGCAACACCGACTCCTACCGGCTTCTTGGGCAACGCCTTCCTATTTATTTATTTATTTACTTTGCTTATATACCGCTGTTCTCAGCCCGAAGGCGACTCACAGCAGTTCACAACAATAAGAGACAGCAGAAATTCAATGTACAATATAAAAACAGTTAACAACCTAATCCATTACACAATTAATAACAATAAACAATTAACGATTACTACAGTAGCCATTCACTATCGTCTCATCATCAAAAACATGATCCAAATTTGTCATTCATTGATCCATTCCAGTGTTCATTAACCAATCCTCTTTCAATGGACAGGGCCCCGTCTCTACGTCTTCCCTCCCATCCCTCTACTCTCGAAAGTGGTCTCCAAGCTTTACCACAATGCGGCGGACACAATGGTAGTCACGCCATGATGGCCCCGCCAGCCATGGTTCCCCCTCCTGACCCACATGTTGACCAGCCACCACCGCTCCCTACCGGCCCTCACCATCTCTCACGGCACAGTCCGCCACCCGGACATCCACTGGCTCGACCTAACTGCCTGGAGGATCCAACCGCGATGTCCTCCGCCACCGTTCGTGACATTCTAGCCGCGGCCCACAGGCCTTCCACCCAGCGGTCTTATGCCCAAAGCGGGCGCTGTTCTCCACCTTTACCCGGACCTACCAGGTGGACCCTCTGAAGACCCCCGCACGCATCCTCCTCGACTTTCTCACCTCCCTGGCGCACAGGGGCCTCTCCCTCTCCTCCCTCAAGTGCTACCTGGCAGCCGTTGCGGTGTATAGGAAACACCACGGCCTCCCTTCCCCCTTCCAGGACCCGTTGGTGCAACTCTTCCTCCAGGGCTACAAGAACGTCTCCCCCCCCAGATCCTTCCTCCCCCTGCGTGGGACCTCTGCCTTGTCCTTTCTTCCCTTATGAAGCCTCCCTTCAAGCCGCTTTCCTCTGCCGACCTCTTGCACCTCTCCTGGAAGACGGTGTTCCTTCTCGCCAACACCATGGCTCGCCGGGTGAGTGAACTAGACGTCCTCCATGCCAATGAGCCCTACGCCTGGTTCCACAAAGACAAGGTGGTCCTCCAGACGGACATCTTCCTACTAGAGGTGGCCTCTCCATTCCACTCTGTGAAGGACATCATCCTCCCGGCATTCTTCCAGAACCCCTCCTCTCCTCTCGAGCGTGCACTCCATCTCCTCAATGTCCACAGGGCGATGCTCTATTACCTCGACCGCACCATACCCTTCAGAAAATCGCCTTGCCTCTTCCTCAAGTACAGACCTGACACCAGGGGGACCCCGGTGTCCTCACAACGACTGGCGGAGTGGGTCCTCGCAGCCATCCGCCTCTCCTACCACCTGGCATGCAAGGCTGCTCTGGAAGGCCTCAAGGCCCATTCCACCCGGGCTGTCGTGACTTCTACCGCTTTCGCCCGGGGCGTCCTCCCGGCCGATATCTGCAAGGCTGCCACATGGTCGTCCCTGCTGATGTTTGTCCAGCACTACAAGATCGACCTTCTATCGAAGCGCCAGGCAGCGTTTGGGAGAGTGGTCCTCTTCTCGACTGGCATGACGCCCACCTTCCTCAGTAAGTGGCTTTTTAATCTACCTTCAGTGTGCATTCCACAGAGACCACAAGATTCAAACTGTGGTTGCTTACCTGTAATCATGGTTTTTCGAGTGGTCATCTGTGGAATCCACACATCCCTGCCCGTCCTCCCCACATCGCTCATGCCATCGTCTCTGCCACTTCTGTGGCAGGGAACTGAGGCTGGGCATGTGACTGGGAGTAGAAGGGCGGGGGCCATACTCAAGTTAATTATTTCTAGATCTTTCCAGAGCTGCTGCCCTCAGGCATCAGAGTACCTTCAGTGTGGATTCTACAGATGACCACTCGAAGAACCATGGTTACAGGTAAGCAACCAGTTTCTCTACCCTCCTAATGCCACGATCCCTTAATACAGTTCCTTGTGTTGTGGTGACCCCCAACCATAACATTTTTGTTGCTACTTTTAGGAATTGTCATGTAAATATCTGATATGCAGGACATATTTTCATTCACTGGACCACATTTGGCACAGATGCCCTATGCGAGTACTGGTGGGATTGAGGGGGATTGATTTTGTCATTTGGGAGTTGTAGTTGCTAGGTTTAATAGTTCACCTACAATCAAAGAGCATTCTGAACTACACCAACGATGGAATTGAACCAAACTTGGCACACAGAACTCCCATCACCAACAGAAAATACTGGAAGGGTTTGGTAGGCATTGACCTTGAGTTTTGGAGTTGTAGTTCACCTATATCCAGAGAGCACTGTGGAGTCAAACTTTACACAAATACTCAATATGCCCAAATGTGAACATTTGTGGAGTTTGGGGGAAATAGGCCTTGACATTCGGGAGTTGCAGTTTCTGGGATTTATAGTTCTCCTACAATCAAAAGTAGGTTCTTAACCCCACCAACGATAGAATTGGGCCAAACTTCCCACACAGAACCCTCATGCCGTGGAGGGACTCGCTGGTACGAACCTCTCTCCAGTTCTCGCACGCTTTCCCTCACCTGCACATGTGCTGAGTACACCTGCCCTCCCCTCCCTACTTGGAGTCTCATAAAGAGCCCTCCTCGTGGCGGAGAGTCCAGCCAATCACAACGGAGGAGGGCTTTTGGTGGGAGGATTTGCCATCTGTTTCCAAAAAGGAAGAGAAGGATAGGTGGAGAGATCATCAGCCTTCTCTGCCAAACGGATTCCTGAGACCATCAGAAATATATGTTTTCAGTAGTGCTAGTGGGAGGCCAAAGGTAGGCTTCAAAAATGGTACGCTACTCACGCGATCCAGAAAATCCCACAAAATCATGCAAATCAAGGGGTTCCAACCTTCATGTTCAGTTCAAGAACACGCGCGAGACTGCTCAGGCTATCAAGGGTATTTGAAGGATGTGACTCTGAAGAAGCAGTGTGTTCCCTTCCGTCGTTACAGTGGTGGGGTTGGCAGATGTCCCCAGGCCAAGCAGTGGGGCTGGACACAGGGGCGCTGGCCTAAAAAGAGTGCAGAGTTCCTCCTGCACATGCTCAAAAATTTATTTATTTATTTATTTCATTTACTTATACCCCGCCCTTCTCACCCCGGGGGGGACTCAGGGCGGCTTACAGAGGAGGCACAATTAGATGCCTAAATCAATTGACAGCAATACAAAGTACAAAAAAGCAATTCAACAGTTAAATTAAAACATCAATGCATAATAAAATATTAAAACAATCTCATGCTCGAGTTCAGAGTCCATATATCCATTCCATTCGTCCTTGTCTATCGTCAGATCCTTAATTTAGTTGCCAGTGTGTCCAAAGGCTTGGTCCCAAACCCAGGTCTTCAGTTTTTTCCTGAATGCCAGAAGGGAAGTRYCCGATCTAATCTCCCCYGGGAYTGAGTTCCACAGGTGGGGGGCCACCACTGAGAAGGCCCTGCTCCTCGTCCCCGCCAACCTCACTTGTGAGAGTGGCGGGGTCGAGAGCAGGGCCTCCCCAGAAGATGCAGAGCAATMCTGAACTCAAGGGTCCAGATGTAGATTCTCTGGTTATTGAACACATTCAGGTTAACAAAGCTCCCAAAATGCGCAGGCGGACGTACAGGGCTCATGGCCGCATCAATCCCTACATGAGTTCTCCCTGCCACATTGAGATGATCTTGACGGAGAAGGAACAGATTGTCCCGAAGCTGGAAGAGGAAGTTGCTCAGAAGATATCTCAAAAGAAACTGAAAAAGCAGAAACTGATGGCTCGGGAATAAATATTCAGTTAACAAACAAATAAAATTTGTGAATTTCAAAAAAAAAAAAGAAGAAATATATGTTTTCTGATGGTCTTGATGTGACCCCCCTGAAGCCCCCTTGCGACCCCTCCAGGGGTCCCGACCCCCAGATTGAGAAACACTGGTCTAAAGGGAAGTGTGCCGAGCCCTTTCTCAAAGTAAGTGATGCATTGGTTGACCTCTTTTTTCCTTCCTCCCTTTCCTGACCTTCCGCCCGCAGGCACTATTGCCTTCTCCCAGGACTACGTCGCCAACGAACTCACCCAGAGCTTCTTCACCATTACCCAGAAGATCCAGAAGAAAGTGAGCGGTTCGCGGCGCACCACAGAGCCATCCGCCATGTTCCCGTCCTTGCCTGGCTCCTACCTAGTGCTCAACAACCCGGCCCTGGAGTTTGTGAAGTCCGTCTGCGAGGTGAGTTCTGGTCTCTGGGTGGGGCCCTTCTTCTAAAGGAGGCTCCTTCTGCAACCTTCTCTCTGTGCCCCGCCAGGTCTTGTCGCTGGATGCCAACGTCGCCAACCAGGTGAGCAAGCTGAAGCGGGACCTGCTTCGGCTGGTGGAGGTGGGGGAGTTCTCTGAAGAGGCCCAATTCCAAGACCCCTGCTGCTCCTACATATTGCCAGAGATGATCTGCAAGGGCTGCAACTTCTGCAGGGACCTGGACCTCTGCAAGGACCCAGTCTTCTCTCAGGTAGCTACTGCTATCCTTAGACATAAGGCGGTTTCCTTATTCTCTATGAGCACTGTCTTTCTCCCTACTTCCAAATGAGATTGAGTTGTGTTTTGGGAAAGCAGGACACTAAAAACATAACTGATTGGACTTATTAGCATATTATTCCCCACCACTGGGACCTTTTGTCTTGGTGGTGGTTCTTTTGTTTGATTTCTTTTCCTTGCTGGTTGTTAATTTATTTTCTCAATGTGGTCCTGTGAAATGCACACATATGGATTTTCTGTGCCTGCGCAGACAGTTTCGGAACCTTCTGGAATCTTAAAGGATACTTTTTGGCAGTCGCACCGCCCATTCTCCCTAATAGTATAAATAGCCAGTAGGCAAGGCTGCCAATCCAGTTGTTTCTTTCCGCCGCAGTAGCAGCAGTTAGGGAACTTCTCTCTGTCAGTGACTAGTTTTGTTCTTGCTTTAATTACTGTTTTTGACCTCTGACTGGACTTCGACTACTCTTTGCCTTTTGATTTGGACTTCGTTCGCTCCCACCAGCTGACTACGGGCCGTTTTGAGTACTCTCAGGCCTGTATCTACCTTCCCCTCTCTTCTACCCAAAATGGTGGCCGTATTTAAGAAGTGCTCCCAATGCGGGGGCAAATATCCAGACACGGAAGCCCATCCCGTTTGCCTGTTATGCCTGGGGGAGAGCCATGCGATACATTCATGTTCCATTTGCCAATCCTTCACCCCCCCCAGGCCCGTAAACATAGGCAAATACACCTTAAAACCCTGCTCTACCAGCAGGCCCTCCTGCCACCGCCACCCAAGGTTGCTAAAAGAGCATCCTTCTACTGCAACTGCCCCTAGTCCCTCGGGGCCCGACTTACCTTCGGCTCTGGAGACGGGAGCACATGGCGCGGCTCCAATGGCCAAGACTGCCAAATCTAAAAAATCCAGAGTGCCACCTCCACTGCTAAAGCCGCTCAGCGCGCTAAAAACGTGGGAAAAGACAAAAAGGAGAGCTCACTTGTGCTGATCGAACGGGGCGCTTCTTCCCCCCTCCCGACTACCTCCTCTAATAATGCCTCATAGGGTCGAGACTCTGAGGAACAATGTCTTCCCCTAACTCAGCTTGAGCCAGTGGGGACGGGCTCTCCGACTCCAGAGATCCACTTTATGGCCTCAACTGTTCCCCAGCCAACCGGAGACACGCAGCAGCCTACTTCACCTATCCCTTCCCTAGAAAGGGAGGTTTCGCTGCTCAGAGGGGCCAACAACCCCCCGTTCCCTGAGTTGCCTGCGGGCGCAAACTCTGAGGTGCGGCTTGAAACCAGGAACCCCAGACCACCATCTCGGGGGGCGCTCCCGATCCCGGAGGCCGCACCATCGCCGTTCTCGTGGGAGGCACCATGCCTCACGTAGCCCAAGGCAGCACTCCTGGAGCCCCGCCTCATGGAGCTGTTCTCGGAGATACAGCTGCTTGGGAAGCTGTGCGCACGAGGCGTTCTATTCCCTTAGCTCACCACCCCCTTACTACTACCCTGGAAAGGGTCATTCCTCTAGAGGCTATTATAGCCCATACTACTACCACCACCACCCAGGCTGGGGCCCACAGTCCCCTTACCACTACCGAAGTGCTCCTCCCCCTCGAGAAGCACCAGTTCACTCAGGGGCCTCTTCATCGGTGCCTCAGCTGCACCCTGCCCCTTCTGCCCTGACACAGCCCTCAACTATGGCTGTTCAAGAGACGGAGCCTCCACCAGAGACAACACCTCTCCAGCAGGGCTCATTACCGCCCCAAGTGGCTGAAACCATCACTCTCGGTACCGAGGCTAGCTCCCCTCCCTGTGGGGACAGCTGAAGATGACCCCACCTCACCTGAGGAGTTGAGGACCTTTTCCTCTCTCATCAGCCGTTTGGCAAAGGCATTGAAACTTCAAAACCCACAAGTAGCGATACCTATGGATGATCCCATTTTTCCCCATGATCAGCAGCAACCACCAACGGTGGCCTCTTTTACCTTATTTGCTTCAACTAATTAAGGTACCTGGCATGGCTCCCTCTTCAGTCCCGCCTACCGCCAGGAAGGTGGAAAATCATTACCAGTTAGACATGACTTCAGCAGAGTGGCTAAGCAAACATCCTAAGTCAAACTCAGTGGACGTTGATGTCTCCCAACCATGTCCGTCATAGTGTTCTCACAACACCCCAGCAGACAAGGAGGGCAGGAAGCTGGATGCCATGGGGCATAAGATTTACACTGCCGCAGGGCTTTTTGCAAGGATGGTGCACTATGGTGCCTCCATGGGAGCTTACTACTGTTTCATATGGAACAAAATTGCTCCACTCCTCGACCACCTTCCTCCTGAAGAGCTCAGACTTGCTAAGACCTATAAACAAGAAGCAGTGCAGTTAACGGGCCTACAAAAGGATCTGGCTAAACGTACCGCAGATACATCAGGCAAGCTCTTTGCTGCCGCAGTAGCCTTGCGCCGTAATGCATGGTTACGCTCTTCAGGCCTCTACCAGTCTGCACGAGCAACCATCGAGGACTTACCAATGCATGAGGTGGGGCTGAATAATCCTGATACCAATGCTGACCTGGAGCTTATTCACAAGATGTGTCAGACGGCCCACAGGTTTGGCCTCCCATCGCTGTTTTCTAACCAGCCTAGGCAATGTTGGTCAACCTTCTCTCCTTACTATCGGAGACATCCTAGCCCAACCTCGACAGCGCCAAGGGCAAGACCGACTACCCAACTGTCCTCCACTAGAAGACTACCTCTAGCTCTGGCCAGGAGCCGCCAACAAGGTAGGGGCAGACAACCCTATGCCTCTAGGCGTCGGGTTTAGCTCTGTACGATGATCTAACAGAGTTTGTTCTTCCCCAAGTTTTGATACTTTCCAACCTGTCCCAGTTGATTACCCCAACTGTATCATTTCCCCGTCCTGTGATGTTCTCTTACTACAACCTACCTTCACGGACCATCTCACGCCTTATATCAATGCTTTGCACCGGATAATCATGGACAGGTGGGTCCTCGACACTGTGGAGAGAGGATACGCTATTGAGTTTACCCAGTAGGAAACCAGAAGGTAACCCATACTTCCACTCCACTCATCAAAGAGATTCAAGCTCTTCTTCAAAAAGGGGCCATATGCCGACTGAAGTCCGGGGACATCTACCAATGATTCTTCTCCAGGTATTTCCTGGTCCCCAAGAGAGGTGGGGGCCTACGGCCCATCTTAGATCTATGGGGCCTGAACTTGTATATCAAACCCCATAGGTTTTGTATGGTCACACTAATGATGGTTTTAGCCCTAATTGGCAGAGGGGCTTGGTTTGCCACAGTGGACCTTAAAGATGCCTACTTCCACATCGGAATAAGACGGTCTCATCGCAGGTTCCTCAGTTTCCAGGTTGGACACCACTGCTACTGTTTCAACGTTCTTCCTTTTGGGCTGTGTACTGCGCCCAGAGTTTTTACAAAATGAATGGGAGCTGTTGCTGCGCATCTCCGCCAAGTTGGCGTTGTTATTTACCCTTACATTGACAACTGGTTGATTTTATCTAGCTCTCGACAAAGACTAATGACTGACATCAACATTACCTTGTATCTTCTTCAGGATCTTGGACTAGTAGTAAATTGGGACAAATCCCATTTGGAGCCTACCCAATCCATCGAGTTTATTGGTGCCATCATTGACTCCAGGAGAGAGCCTTCCTCACAGAGGACCGCTTCAGAACCCTAAGTTCCCTCATCCAAGTCATCCGAACACGCCCTCACATTTGCACCAGGCAAATAGTCTGCTCTAGGCTACTTTGCTTCAATCATGTCAGTAACACCTTTTGCAAGACTTTGAATGTGTCCTCTTCAAATGTGGTTTCTTCAAGTGTTCGACGTATTAAGAGACTCACCAAGGAAGCTCCTGACAGTCTCTCCTCATGTCCTAGCATCATGCTCCTGGTGGACGCACAGACGCAATGTCCAGAAAAGGATGCCATTTTGTCAACAACAACCAACCAAGACACTCACTATGAATGCCTCCTTGTCCGGCTGGGGAGCCCACCTCGACAACCTGACGATAGAAGGTCAGTGGTCTTCAATGGAATCCCAACATCACATCAATTACCTGGATATGCTGGCTGTCCAGAAGGCGCTCAGGGTGTTCTAGCTCCCTTTATCTGGCCACGTAGTCCGTCTCCTGACAGACAACACTACAACCAAGTTTTACATCAACAAACAGGGTGGGACGTGATCCCGCAAACTGATTCACCTCACTCTGCACATCTGAGACTGGTGCATCCCGTGTGGGATTCATCTTCTCACTTTTCATGTGCCAGGCGAAAAGAATCCACTGGTAGACACCCTGAGCAGGTCATTGAACTTGTGCCATGAGTGGCAAGTGAACCCAGAAACCCTACTTCACATATTCGAGCTATGGGGAACTCCAACTATAGACTTGTTCGCAACACCACAAAACACAGTGTGCCCAATTCTGGGCACGGCATCCAAGGGGCCATCCACCAGGCTGCCTGGGCAATGCATACACCTTGGCACTGGTTCTGATGTATGCCTTCCCACCTCTCCTCCTGATCCCGAGGGTCCTGTTGAAGTTGCTGGCAGACAAATCAGACTACATCCTTCTGACCCCATGGTGGCCACGACAGCCATGGTTTGGCCCACTAATCTACACCTCTTGCAACGAGTTTCAACGACTCCTGTTCACGCTGGATATTCTCACGACTTAGAACGGTCAAGTTTGTCATCCCGATGCCCGTACCTTGTGCCTGACAGCTTGGAGGATTCGATCTACACAAAACTCTCCCACTCAGTGAGATCAGTGCTAGAAGCTGCTCACAAAGCGTCCATAAAGAAATCCTACACATACAAATGGCAGCGCTTCACTTCCTTTGCAAAGCAGAAGGGGGCGGAACAATCCTCAGCCCCTGTCCCAGTAATTTTGGACTTTCTTATGCACCTCTCTAATAGAGGCCTCTCCATTTCATCTATAAAATGTTATCTCACGGCCATCTATGGTACCGACACAAGTCAGGCCTACCCTCTAGTTTTGCGCAGCCACTCATTAAATTATTCCTGAAGGGGCATAATAACATGTATAACCCAGTTCACTCCCCAGTACCTGCGTGGAGTTTGGCACTGGTCTTGTCACAGCTTTCTAAACTGCCGTTCGAGCCTTTAGCATTGACTGATCTTCAACACCTGTCATGGAAGACGGCATTCCTCATTGCCATAACTTCTGCAAGGAGGGCAAGTGAGCTGACACACCTTACCTGTGGTTCCATTCAGACAAAGCAGTTCTTCGACCAGACATTTCCTTTCTGCCGAAGGTGGTCACGAGCTTCCTCCTCTCCCAGGACATTATTCTACCAGCATTTTTCCAAAATCCATCAACTCCACTTGAACGGTCATTACATACATTAGATGTCAGGAGGGCACTTGCCTTCTATGTTGACCGGACCCAGCCACACAAAAAATCTCTGTGGCTCTTTCTCAAGTACAGGAATGATGTACTCGGTATGCCTGTGACCCCTCAGAGGCTGTCTTCATGGATTGTCGCTACCATCCAACTTGCATACCAGGTGTCAGGGTGTTATCCCGCACCTGTACTGAAGGCTCACTCCACTAGATCTTTGGCCACATCACGGGCGTTCCTAAAAGGAGTGCCTCTGGAAGACATTGTCGTGCGGCCACCTGGGCAACCCCTTCCACCTTTGTCAGCCATTACAAGGTGGATGCCCTATCCAAGAGAGACACTGCCTTCGGGAGAGCAGTGCTGTTTTTGTATGTGGCATGACGCCCACCTCCAAGGTTAGTACCTTGCTAGTCACCAATATGTGTGCATTTCACAGGACCACGCAGAGGAAAGATGGGTTGCTTACCTGTAACCATGTTTCCTCTAGTAGTACTGGTGAAATCCACACAACCCGCCCATCCTCCCCGCTGGGCATCATGCTCCGGTATCCTGGGCTGCTATTCTGCAGCTAAGGAACTGGATCAGCAGCCCCGCCTACTGGCTATTTATACTATCAGGAGAATGGGCGTTGCCACCACCAAAAACTATCCTTTAAGATTCCAGAAGGTTCCGAAACTGTCTGCGCAGGCACAGAAAACCCATATGTGTGGATTTTACAGGTACCACTAGAGGAAACACGGTTACAGGTAAGCAACCCATCTTTATTTATTTACTGTATTTTTATACCTTTCTCAGCCCTCAGGCGAATCAGAGCGGTTTCCAGAGGCAACAATTCGATGCCCAATACACCATAAAACATTTAAAAGCATGAACACATAATATAAAACCATAACAATAGTATTAAAAACATACATCAATTACGTCTCCTAATAAAAACGTTCTCCAATCTCGTCCAGTCATTCCAATTTCTATGTCATTTAGCTTGCATTTTCAAACACTTGTTCAAACAACCAAGTCTTGACTCTTCCGAAATGTTAAGGGGCAGGGGGCCGATCTAATGCCCCCGGGAAGGGCGTTCCATAGCTGAGGTGCCACCACTGAGAAGGCCCTGTCTCTTGCCCCACCAAACGTGTTTGTGATGCAGGCAAGATCGAGAGCAGGGCCTCCCCGGACAATCTTAAAGTCCTAGCAGGTTCATAAAGGATGATGCGTTCGGACAGGTAAGTTGGGCCAGAACTGTTAATGTTAGGTCCTGCTGTGGATAAATAATACTGTTTTGAAAGGGAACTTCCTTAAGCCATGTCACAGAATTGGGTCCACATTGTGTTATAGTGCAACTGCCAGCCTGCCTCACTATTGGCTTGGGCAGCTAGGGCTGAGTTGCAGTTCTGTCTCACCTGGAGGTGACACTTCATTGCTCACCTGCTTTTGGGTCCCTTTTAACTGTGATTCGGACTTAATGGGGCCTCTTTCTGCCTCTTTTCCTCCAGGACGGTTCAGTACTGCCCAGTTGGGCCTGCCCCAGTTGCCAAGCGCCGTATGACTCGGATGCCATTGAAATTGCCCTGGCAGAAGCCTTGCAAAAGAAGCTGATGGCCTTCACCCTCCAAGATCTGGTAAGGCAGGATGGCATTTCCTAGTCCTCTTGGACTCAAGGAAGAGTGGGGGGTGGGGACAATGCCTGGAGTCCCCAGAGAGCCCAAAGTCTGATCCCCAACTTCCCTTGTGTCCCAGGTGTGTCTGAAGTGCAAAGGCGTCAAGGACAGTCACATGCGCCTCTACTGCAGCTGTGCCGGAGACTTCGACCTCCTCTTGCCAACCAAGGTACATGCGCACCCAATATTCCCTTGCTGAAGCCTCCTTTCTAGCCCAAGGAAGGGACATTCTCTTTCATAGAATCATAACATTGGAAAGGACCATTTAATCCTGCCTCTGCCAAAGAGAAATTCACTCCCGAAAGGTGCTCACTCAACCTCTGCTTCAAGACCCACCTAAAGATGGAGAGTCCAGATTGTCAATATATTTCTTGATCTGGGCACAGTATTATTCCAGGTCAGATCTGGCCAAAGGAGAATAGAGTGGGAACATGACTTCCCTCGATCTGGATACTGCCCTCCAATTCATGCAGCTTAGAACTGCATTGACCTTTCTAGATGCCACATCACACTGTTGGCTCACATTCAGCTTTTGGTCTCTTAAGATTCCTTGATCCCTTTCCCATGGACTGTTTTCAAGCCAAGCCTCGCCCATCCTTTATCTATGTCAGGGGTCCTCGAATTAAGGCCCGGGGACCAGATGCAGCCCTCCAAGGTCATTTACCCAGCCCTTGTTCAGGGTCAACCTAAGTCTGAAAAGGCTTGAAAGCACACAACAACAACAACCCTATTTCATCATCCAAAAGCAGACCCACACTTCCCATTGAAATGCTAATAAGTTTATATCTGTTAAAATTCTTCTTCATTTTAATTATTGTATTGTTTTTAAGTGGGTTTTTTTTTTTTTGCACTACAAATAAGATATGTGCAGTGTGCATAGGAATTCATTCATGTGTTTTTCAAATTATAAGCTGGCCCTCCAACAGTTTGAGGGACTGTGAGCTGACCCTCCGTTTAAAAAGTTTGAGGACCCCTGATCTATGTATTAGCTTTTTCTCTGCCTTAGAATTGCATTGGCCTTTTTTGCTGCCACATCACTCTTGACTCGTGTTCTGCTTGTGATCCACTTCAAACCCTTAGATCCTTTCTTCACATTTTCAAGCCAGGTCTCAACTAGCCTATATCTGCCTCGATTTTTTCTTTCCTGCCTTTGTTCCTCCTTCAGATGAGATCCACCCTCCCCTCCTTTCTTCCCAGCTCTCAGTGTCACGTTGTTTGTTTGCCCTTCTCTTCCTCCTCCCCAGACCTTCCTGGACCAGCTGAAAGTCTTCCGGAGCATTGCCCAGCACTACAACATGGTCTACTTGCTGGAGAATGTGACCTGGTTGCTGCAGAGGAGCCCTTGGCTGCCTTCGTGAGAGCGTCCTGGGGTGGGTTTCTCATTTTGTGTCCTGTGGCACAGATTTGAGGCTAGCTCTGTGCTGCAACGAAATGCATTATTATTATTATTATTATTATTATTATTTCCGTCACTTTTACCCCGCCCTTCTCACCCCCGGGGGGGGGGACTCAGGGCGGCTTACAGAGGAAGGCACAAGCCTTGGACCAAAGGACAGAGCGGCATCACTATCAGATGCTTGTGTAACCTGAAACGCAAGCATATCAATGTATGGACACACAGGCTTTCTGTTTCCCACTTTTCAATGGGAAGAAAGTGTGACTGATGCTTTTTTAGCATGGGGCCTAGATTTTATCCTGTTTTTAATCTTGGGGTTTTGATTAAAAAATGACAATGCTGTAAATAAAATGTTTTATGCCCAGCGATTGGCTGTCGGTGTATGTGACACAGATGCATGCTTTGGTAGCAATGCAGTCGCTGTAGATTTTCCATTACTTTTAAGTATGAAATCCATTGTTGCAGGCCCTGGAAAGTTCTGGATGAAAGTATGGAAGGGAGGAGGTATTTCCATTCTTTCCTTCCCTCCTTCGCTTCTAAACCCAGGGCATCATCTGGACCTGGACCATTCTGCAATCGGAAGAGGAGGAAGGGGGCGGAGTGGCCAAAGGGAAAGGGAAAAGGCTGGCTTTGTCTGGGAAAACAATCCCTAGGGTTCCTGCAACTACCAACAGTTTTGTTGTCGAAGGCTTTAATGGCTAGAATCACCAGGTTGTAGGTTTTTCGGGCTGTATGGCCATGTTCCAGAAGCATTCTCTCCTGACGTTTTGCCTGCATCTATGGCAGGCATCTTCCAAGATTGTGCCCGCATATGTGTACGGACGTTGCCTAGCTTGCTATTAAAAAGGGGGGCCGCCTTTCCACTTGGCGCCTCTCCTTGCCAAGCAGGAGGCTGGCACAACGACTTCACTTCTGGATCTGCTCTTGGCTTTCATGCACTGGGGAGGCTCAGACTGATTCAAAGCGGGCAACCTGAGCCTGCCCTAAAGCAGTCGTGTAACCTGACTCTAATCACATTGTGGACACCCATGATCCTATTGATGCCCAATCGTTTTGGTCTACCACCTGCCTTCCCAGACTGAAGGATATGCATGATTAAAAAGGGGTGCCTGCGTTGGCACTGCCCTGAAAAAATAGCCCAAAGTGCCTGGCATTGTCTCCCCTCTTCCCCCTTCTCTTCTTCCCCATTTGCTGCCTTTTGAACCGTTCCCGCTAATAGCCAATGATTTATCGCCAGTGCGATCTCTGGCCGTGCCATTAGCTCCCGTTCGTTTGTTCGGGGGTCTTTGCTGCATTCATTTCCTCCCCTTGGACCCTGATGTTTGATCATCATCATGTTTGGGAAGGGGATCCTTGATGGCTTTCTCTGCCGGGGTTAAAGCTGGTAATGGATTGGGATTTGCAGGAGCCGGAGAGAGCCAAGCAATTGGATTAGCTGAAGAAAGAGGCTACACTTCACTCCATCTCTTTGGCGCGTCTTCTTTTTTTCCTGTATAATTGACTTATTAGTCTCTCAACAAGCACTTAGCCTAGCCAGGCCACAACACTGACTTGTAGCCTCTCCGATCCTCTGCGCACCAAAGGAAGGGAGAGGAAAGGTCTTTCCACACTCTCCCCTTCAGTGAGGTAAGGGTACTGGGGAAAATACCACCTATGATGGGTATCGTACCAGGGCAAAGGTTTTGATCTTTGGGTGGGCTTAGAGACACTTTGCCAGGTGCAGTGTGGTCATAAGATTTCAGAATTGGATGGGACATTCAAGCCCAAAGTAGATCCAACCTCCGGCAGGAATCGACCACTAAAACACCCCCGAAAAAAGTCCATTTTACTTCTGTTTCAAGACCTCTCCAAAAGGAGAGCCTTCCCCTCCCCCTCTCCCGCTCTCCCGCTCTTGTACTCTCAAGTACTTCCACCACCAAGGTCTTGTTCATGTTTCCATGGAATCCACTGGTTCATGTGCCCCTCTCTGGAGTCGTAGAAAAACAAGCTTCAAAGGGATATTTTAAAATGGGTACCTTATGACTTCTCCAAGTGAAATATGCCCCATTCCCCAAGCTGTTCTTCATAAGACTTGGTGTTCTGTTGTGCCAACCAGATGGTACATAAACTGTGCCAACCAGGATGCCTTGAACTGCAACAGAGGTTCCTGAAATCTTCAATAGGCCAAGGTCCTACATCACAACCTGTGGCCAGATGTACCTAAGGCTCACTCCAAGGCTCACCAGTGCCCATCCAGCTATGGCACATCAATCACTCCACTTACCACCATGCATGTAAGTGGAGTGACTGATGTGCCATAGCTGGGATGCCATGTAACAGCAGCCCCATACGGGTTGTTTTATCTATGGAAATAACTGAGAGTATATAACAGTGAAAATGAGACCAGTCTCTTGTCACCTGAATGCCTGACAGAATTTTATTTACTGGGAAGGAGGTTGGATGACACAATGCAAAAGCAGCCCTGACAGAAATGGAGAGATGCCAGCTGTGGGTCTCAGAGTGGGACGGGAGTTTTGGAGCCGATGGGCGAGGAGGCCATGGTGGTGGTGCCAGAGTCCATTTTCAGTGCCTCTTGGGCAAGTGTGGCAATCTGTAAATAAGGGAAGAGAGCGGAAAGAGAGGAGGTGTGGTGTTTGGGTTGGCATTTCCGGCTGCCAGGACCCAGTCTGCACCCCACGGGCCCCGTACCTGGTCAAACTTGCGGGAGCTGTACACCTCGTCCTTGTTCATGAAGGTCAATAAGATCCAGTCACACAGGAAGGATCCCTGCCGAGAGAGAAGAGGAGATGAGAGTTCAACTCCATGCAAAGAAACAAAGACCCGTCTTGGCAAACAAAACATCAATTTGCTAACTCTTAGGTTCCTAACAAGGGTTTGCAAGGGAGATCTTGCTTCTGATTGGAAGCCAGACAGGATTTCCATCACCAGCTGCTGCTTCACAAGAAGACACCATCATCCTACAGAATATGCACCAGCTAAAAAGATCCCTGACTCTCGGGGACAAATCTGTTGTCGTGATACAGTCTGCCATCCAAAATAAATTATAACGGGATTGTGGCGCAGCTGGCTGTCAGCTGCATTAAGATCACTCTGACCAAAAGGTAATGAGTTCTAAACCAACCCGGGTTGGAGTGGGTTTCCAACCAATTGTGTAGCCTGTTGTCAACCTTTACAACCCAAAAGACAGTTGCATCTGTCAAGTAGGAAAATTAGGTACCACCTTAAAGTGTGGGGAGGCTACATTAACTAATTTATGAGGCCATAAAAAAGACTCCAGCAAAGCACTCCAGTAAAAAAGCATGCGGGGAATGGGGAAGTACTTCATCAGTGTCGCAGATGGACGATGAAAGCGACAGCTCCCCTGGCGGCCAGAAAAAGTTAAATAGCCTCTGTGTATGTCTGTATATGTTGCATGTCAAAATTGGCATTGAATGTTTGCCATATATGTGTACACTGTAATCCGCCATGAGTCCCCTGCGGGGTGAGAAGGGCGGAATATAAATGCTGTAAATAAATAAATAATAAATAAATAACGATTACTCACCACTCCGACTGAGGTCAGTGCCGTCGCCAGGTTGATGATGGTGGGGATGGGACTGAATTTCCCTGCCTGCGGAAAAAAGGTGCCAGAAAACCCAGTGTCAGCAAGCAAATGCTTTCTAGATCGGGTTCTCAAATTGTGCTCCGTAGAGCCTTTGGGGCTCCGTGAATGATAGTGAAGGGCTCCATGGTGCCATGCTGCTATTATTATTATTATTATTATTATTATTATTATTATTATTATTATTCTGACACAAAAGCATAGTATGTCACAGCAAACAAGATCTATATGCTGGATTTCGTTTCACAAAATCAAGTCGAACACTTCCCAAGCGTCTAGTACTGTGATATATTTTTGAATGATGCGCACAGATCCTATTATTATTATTATTATTATTATTATTATTATTATTATTATTATTAGGGTTGGATGGCCATCTCTTAGTGCTTTGATGTGATTCAACTGGGTGACCCTGGGGTTGCTCCTATTATTATTATTATTATTATTATTATTATTATTATTATTATTCTGACACAAAAACACAGTATGTCACAGCAAATTAGATCTATATGCTGGATTTCGTATCACAAAATAAAAAGTCGAACACTTCCCAAGCGTCTAGGACTGTGTGATGTATTTGCAAATGATGTGCTCAGATCCAAGTAAGGTGGCCATTTGCAGTTGACTGATCATGATTTTATCAACGTTTATTGTTTCTAAATGCTGGCTGAGATCTTTTGGCACGGCACCCAGTGTGCCGATGACCGCTGGACCCACCTGTACTGGTTTATGCCAGAGCCTTTGCAGTTCGATTTTGAGGCCCTGATAACGACTGGGTTTTTTCTGTTGTTTTTCCTCAATGCTACTGTCACCCAGTATGGCAACATCAATAATCCAAACTTTTTTCTTTTCCACAATCGTGATGTGTATTGTGTTCCAAAACTTCATAAGTCTGAATTCGAAAGTCCCACAGTATTTTTGTGTGTTCATTTTCCACTACCTTTGCAGGACTATTATTATTATTATTAGTAGTAGTAGTAGTATTTGAAACTCAACAAGATGAGTCCACAGCAGACACTCTGCTGGCTGTTGAATTGGATCACACGTTGGACACTTCCCAAGTGTCTAGGACTGTGTGATCTAACCCCTGCTTAGATCAGCATTTCGAAACCTGCGGGCCAGTACACTTGGGGGGGGGGGTCGCAAGGGGGTGTCAGAGGGGTCACCAAAGTCCATCAGAAAACACATGGGAGTTCTGTGAAGTTTGGCTCAATTCTATTATAGGTGGAGTTCACAGTGCTCTTTGATTGTAGGTGAACTATAAATCCCAGCAACTACAACTCCCAAATGTCAAGGTCTGTTTTCCCCAAAGTCCACCAGTGTTGACATTTCGGCATATTGAGTATTCATGCCAAGTTTGGTCCAGATCCATCATTGTTTGAGCCCACAGTGCTCTCTGGATGTAGGTGAACTACAACTCCAAAACTCAAGGTCAATGCCCACCAAACCCTTCCAGTATTTTCTGTTGGTCATGGGAGTTTTGTGTGCCAAGTTTGGTTTCATTCCATCGTTGGTGGAGTTCAGAATGCTCTTTGATTGTAGGTGAACTATAAATCCCAGCAACTACAAGTTCCAAATGACAAAATCAATCTATCCCAACCCCACCAGTATTCAAATTTGGGCGTATCAGGCATTTGTGCCAAATTTTCCAGGAGAGGAGGTGTTTTCACAAAGAGAACCTGGGAGGGGAAGTGGGCAGGAACAACTCTCTATGATGCGATGGCAGTCAACTGAGAACTCCTGAATAAAACGGATAGTTTGCTAGTGTGTGATAGAAGTAGGAAAATCATCCATTTAATTTCAAAATGGAGTATGCCTGAGCTGTATGATAAAACTACACTTCCAAACACTTGACATGTTCAGTGGGATGAAATCTTTGATTGTACAGTGTTCGTTCACTTATCATGGGTGTTCTGTTCCAGGACCACCTGCAATAAGTGAAAATCAGCGAAGTAGGGACACTCCACCCTCTCGAGTGGGTGGAGTGTCCCTACTTCACAGTGGCCTCCTCCTCGCCACCTCCACTGCTCCCTGCCTTGGAGACCCCTTCCTCGCTAAGCTGGAGGCTCAAACCTGGTGCCCAGCCTGGCGAGGAAGGAGCGGGGAGCGGCTGAAGCGGCGAGGAGGAGAAGGTCGCTGAGGCGGCAGCCTCCTCCTTGCCACCTCCGCTACTCCCCATCTTAGAAGCCCTTTCCTTGCCAGTCTGGGCACCCAAGGGGCCTCCAAGGCGGGGTAGGGACGTTAGATGTTTACGATTCAGAACATTAGCAAAATTACAGTTCTGAAGTAGCAACGAAAATAATGTTATTGTTGGGAGTCATCACAACATGAGGAACTGTATTAAGAGATCATGGCATTAGGAAGGTTGAGAACCACTGCTCTAGATGGTTGGACTGTGGATTCCAGTGGCACCAGTGCTTGGCAACAATGGGAATTGCACTCCAATGCAGAAGGGGTAGAGTTTGGTTGCTGTCCTGTTCTGAGGCTCCATCCTTGTGTTATGTTTCTGAAGGAGAGGCGATCACGCCGCAACTCAGACCCCATTCCTCCACCCAGAAAAGCCAAAATGCTGCTGAGAACAGGATGCAATACCTGTCCATGCACAATGACATCAATGCGGATGCCGTAGGCCTTGATCAAGGTGCGGGTGCTCTTCCCCTCGCAGTGGTAGTACTTAGCAAACCTGGCTCCAAAAAAAAAAAAAAACCATGAGAAAGTTGAGTAATTGGTGCAAAACATACCCAGGCATGCCAGTGTCAACCTTGCAAAACATACCCAGGCGTGAATGCGAAGCAGTTTGTTTAAGTGACATTCTCTTTCGCCCAAAGTGGGGGCAAATTGTTTCAAGCAAAAGCTGGGTTACCTGTAATTGTAGCCAGAGGAGACTTGGGCCCACTTGGGGTCCAGCCTGCGGAAGGAGTATCGGGGGTTGCATTCAGAGTCCGGCAAATCCAGGTTGCAGTTCCAGTTAATGATCACCCCAATCACCCCGCCCTGCGGAAGGGAAGTTCTCCATCAGGGCCCCTGAACAAGGATTTCCATATGACATCAAGTTAGAATGGACCCCGAGGGCCATCTAGTCCAACCCTCAAAAGCCATGCAGCTACATCACTCCTGAAAGACAAACCCATCCCACTGCTCTTTTGAGACCGTTGAAGATGGTCTCCAACCCATCGAACAGCTCTTCTGGTTCTTCCAAATGTTTCATTTGTCATTTGACTCCAGAACCGTCATTTGAGAAAGAAGCTATTACCAGGCAGAAAGTGTCCCAACAGACTCTGGTGGCAATCATTGCCTCTTCTAGTCATTAAATCTAGGAAATTTGTGTTTGGAGCAAATGACCTGCCGGAAGCTACAGGGCTGTTGTTGCTTTGAAATGTCCATTACAAGCAAGCAAGTCAATTAAATAATCTGCGGGAAACGTCTTACTGTGACTGAAACATGAGAAAAAACTCTTGACTCTCATTGGGTGGCTCTCTTTCAGGAGTGCTTGGGTTGAGTCGAGCAGCATGGCAGGGGGATGGACTAGATAGTCCTTGGAAGCCTCCCAGAGGTAGTTTTGTCCATTCCTTCCTCTGAGCTATGCTCTGACATGCTTGGCGGTCTCTCATCCAAGTCCTAACCAGACCTGAACCTGCTTAGCATCCAATTTCAGATGCAATCTGGTGCCTTTGGACTATTATTTATGCCCCAGTTCTCTATTGTAAGGAATGCTATGGGCTCCAGCCCTACAGGGAAGCTGCTTCTGTCCATTACAGGTCAGGGATGGCTAGTATGTAATAGACCCGGCATCTTCAGCAAAGCAGCCAATAACCTCTCCTCCTTCCCAGGAGAGCAATGAGGGTTGATTGATGTGAAGAGAAAGGCAATTAAAGGCCAGCCAGCTTCCTGGAATGGGCACATTCTGGCTGGGGGGAGGGCACTAGGCCCGCTCTGGGTTTCAGTCCAAACTGTTCAGGCAGACTGAGCCCGCCAGCCAAGTCTACACTACGTTGGCTGGGAGATCATGGGCAAAGTAGTCCTCCGAGGCTACACCGGCCAGGATTACCTTTTCAGCCAAGGCAGCAAAGTCCTCGCCTGCTTGCTCCACGATGAAGCCCAGCTTAAAGATGGGGCAATAGAGGTCGGTGGTTTCATTGAAGGAGCAGTTCCGCAGGTAGCCGTCTTTGCTGTCCTTGATGTTCCCCCTGAGGAGGGGAGATGGGCAATGGTTAGAAACCTAGGGACCCACTGTGGGCACAAAGAGGGCAGTGCTAATGCAAGGAATCTGAGGACCACCACATCAGGCATCAACTCACAGGGACCCAAACCGCTGGCCAAACTGCCCTCGCAATGGTGGTGTGCCAGTGTTGCCCTCCCCATGCCCACTGGCCTCTTACTTGGAGAAGCGGAAGCGGGGAAAATGGATGTTGTTCTTGATCAGGATGGTGAACTTGGGCGCCATCTTTGACAAATCCTCACTAAAATGCAAAGCAAAGCCAAATAAAGATTAAACCACACACATAGACATCCCTCCTGAGGTTAGCAGACTGGTATAGGTTGGCAGGCTTTCCCTTGCCAATGAACTACAACTCCCATCCTTGCTGCCTTATGAGCTCTCTTCCCTGGCTCTTACAAGCAGGACTGTACCTGAGCGCTGTGCCATTCTCCACCGGGCACCATGCCTTCACCTCACAGGTCTTCTTGGTGCGGTTGTAGGGCACGCAATGCCCCGTCTTCTCTCCTGGAGGGAAGAAGACATGGAGTGGATCATTTTGGTGCCCACTACTCAAGTCTCCATGGAGCTCAAGTCATATCTACTGCTGCTTCCAAGCTTCATGCCCATATACCAGAGATGGATCACGTCCATCTCTGGCATATGGCAGTGGAGGCAAAAGCCAAGGGCAGCTGGTAGGTGGCAGTCTGGCATTGGAGGAGATTGTTATTTTCTGCTGTTTGCCACCTTCAGATATGGAAGACGGCACTAACTTTGAAAATAAGATTTAATGGCCCAGTACAGTTGCCAGGTATGATAAAGGATATCTTTTTTGAGGACCAATATAAGACTGGCATTGTGAACCTTGCAATTAGGAATATCTCTTATTTGAGGGCCAAAATGTAGGACTGGCAACTCTTTTGCATAGACTGAACAAGACATCCCCCTAAAGACTCCAGGTGGGTCTTGCCACCCTAACCCAACTGCTCACCATTGCCCAGCATGTCCATCTCACCAGCAACACACTCACGGCTGGAGCGACACAAAGCCCTGGGATTCTGTAAGAAGGAGACAGGCTGGCGTTTGGATCTGAGAGATGGCAAAACTCAGAGTGGGCAAATGTAAAACTTTTGGGGGATTGGGAACAGCTGAATGATCCAACCCAATCTTTTTTGGCACCAAGACTTTCCCAATTAATTGTTTCAGTTGATAACTTTGGAGACCTCAAGGTGTTATATCTACCCTTCTAGGAATGCATTAAATTTGGATAGCGGGCAACCCAAGCCCACTTTCTTTTCTCTTACCTCTGGGCAAGCATCCTGAGTCTGTGAAGGGGTCACTTGGACCCGGGTAATGATGCTGAAAACGCTGCCACCCTGCAATGAAGATCCAAGATCAGAGGATAAAGTGCCCACCTTGCTCTGCATTGTAAATAATCCATTTTGAGGTTGGCAAGGTTTGTTTTGTTGCATCAGAATGGCACCATTCACTCCCCACTTCCAAAGGGAGCCCCAAAGGTTAGCTTAATCAATGCTGACAAGCTGGGTCTCGCATTGGGAGCTGATCCTTTGCAAAGTGCCCATTTGAGATCCCAGGATTAAGTCATGACTATTACGGTATACACTAGCAGTGAGGTTCAGAGGGCACCGGGAAACCTAAGGGTGGCAAAAGCAGCCACAATTCCCTCTGAGACATTAGATGTTTTAAGGAGAGAGTTTCCAAGCAAGCCTTGCATTTGTGCCCTCTCCACAGCCACTCGGGCGAGCCTTCCCCTGGCCTGCCTGGTGCCCGCTTTGCCCCCTTACCTCTGGGGGTTTCACATACTCCTCCACATCCCAAACCTTGCTTTGGGAGCGGGTGACGCCCTTGACTTTGGTGATGACGGAGCTCTCCGGGCCAGATTCGCTCTCTTGGTAGCCTTTCTGGACGATGAAGACGTACCTGTCACCAATGTTAACGGGTTACAGCATGTGCCCGTCTTTTCCTGGCACACACTTTCCCTGAAGCAAAAAACCCTAAGAAAAAGGAGACTGGGAACGATCCTCTACTAGAGACAACCTTGCTTCTCAGCTAATTTTGAGAAGCCACATGGAGGGAATAAATAGGGTAACATCTTCAACGTCTTATTCATCATTCAAAATGTTCCCTTTTCCCCTGCCATTTTTATTTGAAAAAGTGGAGGGCAAACTGGGGTTTCCAGCATTTCCCCCCTTTTTATCTCTATTTTGAACTCAGGATTGGAGGAGAGGGTGCCCAACCTTTAGGCATGAAAGACGTATGCAGATTTGTTGCAAAAGCCGTGAAGTCGGCACGGATGTACAGCGACCCAAGAGTTGACATAGATGTGTGGTAAGCCAGTCCTCTCCCGTTCGGACCAGAAACCAAAGCAGACCCCCTTTGCAGACCCAGGAGCCCCGGCTGGTACCTTTCTTTCTTCATCTTGCCCCCAAGCGGGCAGCGAGGGACCACTTACCAAATGAAGTAGACCAGGATGAGGAGCTGGACCAGTCGGTAGATGAGCCCCAGGTGCCGGTTCCGCACCACAATCACTTTGGGGGTCTCATAGCTCCAGAATTCCCAGAAAGCGCTCCAGCAGCCCCTCATGACCCCTTTTAGGTGGCAAAGAGGAGTTCCCTTTCCCAGTCGCCAGGATGGCATCCCTCAGGCTTTCCTTGCCTGCTGCTGAGCGCTTTCTCCTCCTCTACATGCTGCTTTGTGCAGAAGAGCAGCGGCTTTCTCTGCTGCAGATGGAACGCCTCCCATGCGTTGGCCTCCCTTGGGGCAGGAATGCTAGGCCGGGGCAGGCTGCCCTCTGTGGGCATCAGGTGGCAATGCAATTCCGACAGCCCCTCAATGTGGATGCCCACAAGTGCCAGCTGTCGCCCGGATTCCTCCTCTCCACCGGTCTCGCACTTCCAAAATGTCTTTCTCCCACATATTCACTCCTTTGTAAACCATCACACACATATAACACTCAACGTGCCCAGGCACAGCAGTAAGTATCAAGTGCCATCTTGACTGAATGGCACCTTTCTGGGCATCCCAAATATACCCCGCATATGTCTCAAATATATCCCCAAACATTGGGATGAATTAGAAATCTAACACTGATGTTCAATGGGGATCAGTGACAAACGGATTTTCGGAAAGGGAAAGTGGCCGTCCCAAAGTAAGCCAAGGACTCTGGACTCTGGAACTCACTCCCTAAGGACATCAGGCAGGCCCCAAATCTGGCAGTCTTTAGGAGGAGCTTGAAGACGTGGTTGTTCCAGTGTGCCTTCCCAGAATAATGATTCCATTGCACTTTGTCCTCTAAAGCACTTTACATTGTTTTAGGTCTGCTTGTATGTTTTCCACAAATGCCCCATCACTTTTTTGCCCATGTTCCAGAATTATTCTCAATTTTAATTTTACATTTGGCCTTCCCGTCGTTTTTAATTGTGTGTTGTCTTATTGTTAATGTTTCGTTATTTTATTGTCTATGTTTTGTTTTAATTGCTTGTATTGTTGTTTTATTGCTTGTATTGTTGTTGTATTTGGGCTCAGCCTCATGTAAGCCGCACTGAGTCCCTTGGGAGATGGTAGCGGGGTACAAATAAAGCTTATTATTATTATTATTATTATTATTATTATTATTATTTAAGGAAGCTTTGGAGAGGAATGGGTCCCAATGGGCTCACCCCATGGCAGCAAAGCCTAAACCAGTGGTTCTCAACCTGTGGGTCCCCAGATGTTCTGGCCTTCAAATCCCAACAGCTGGTAAACTGGCTGGGATTTCTGGGAGCTATAGGCCAAAACACCTGGGAATCCACAAGTTGAGAACCACTGGCCTAAACCTTGCCAGTACGTACTCCCCGCAAACCCACAGAAAACTTCAAGAGAAAAGACCTGAATTAGATCTGATTTTATTGAAAGTTGGTAAAGTTGCGGACAATGCGTACAACACAAACACAGCCACAAAACATCACAGTTTGTTGTCAAAATCCCATTTGATGTTAACAGCTTGGTCCCAAAGGTTCCCAAGTCAGCTGATGGGACAGCAACAATAACAGTAATAACAGTAACAAGAACAATAATAATAATAGGATTCAAAGATGGGGGAAGAGGAAAACTGGTCAATAATATTGGTTGGAATGGAAACAGTGCATCTCCAGAAACAACACTTCTATAGGTTGTTGTACGTTTTTTGGGCTGTATAGCCATGTTCTAGAAGCATTCTCTCCTGATGTTTTGCTTGCATCTATGGCAAGCATCCTCCACAACCTCTGAGGATGCTTGCCACAGATGCAGGCGAAACATCAGAAAAGAATGCTTCTAGAACATGGCCATACAGCCCGAAAAACCTACAACAACCCAGTGATTCCAGCGATGAAAACCTTCAACAATAACATTTCTATATGTTTCCATATGGAAAGAGGTCCAATGGAGGGGGTCTTTGTAGGATGCTCAAACAATACCATCACATTTCTAAACACATCTTTTAAGTGGATTTTTTTTTATCTAGTGTGATGAGGGGTCTTTGGTAGGAGGCCCTGAAAGTGCTACATTTCTAAGACACTTCTATACTTTTCTATAGAGAAAGGGGTTCAGTGGGGGGTGCAATGGGATAGCCTAAAGGAGCTACATTTCTAAGAGACTTCTATACCTTTCTATAGGGAAAAGGGTCCAATTTTTGTAGGATGTCCTAACACCACATTTCTATGTGGAAAGGGAATCAATGGAGGGGTCCTAATGGGATGGCCTGGAGGTGCTACATTTCTAAGAGACTTCTAGACATTTCTATAGGGAAAGGGGTCCAGTGGGATGATCTAAAGGTGCTACATTTCTAAGACAATTCTATACATTTCTATGTGGAAAGGGGTCCAATGGGATGGTCTAAAGGTGCTACATTTCTAAAAGACTTCTAGATATTTCTATAGGGAAAGGGGTCCATTGGAGGAGTTCTAATGGGATGGCCTAAAAGTGCTAGATTTCTAAGACAATTCTATACATTTCTATGTGGAAAGGGGTCCAATGGGATAGCCTAAAGGTGCTACATTTCTAAGAGACTTCTATACATTTCTTTAGGGGAAAGGGTCCAATGGAGGGTCTTTGTAGGATGTCCTAACACCATCACATTTCTATACATTTCTATGTGGAAAGGGGTCTATTGGAGGAGTCTAAATGGGATGGTCTAAAGGTACTACATTTCTAAGACAATTCTATACATTACATAGGGAAAGAGGTCCAATGGAGGGGTCCTAATGGGATGACCTAAAGGAGCTACATTTCTAAGACTATTCTATACATTTGTGTGTGGAAAGTGGTCCAGTGGGAAGACCTAAAAGTGCTACATTTCTAAGACAATTCTATACATTTCTATAGGGAAAGGGGTCCAATGGGATGTCCTAAAGGTGGTACATTTCTAAGACAATTCTATACATTTCTATAGGGAAAGGGGTCCAATGGGATGGCCTAAAGGTGGTACATTTCTAAGACAATTCTATACATTTCTATAGGGAAAGGGGTCCAATGGGATGTCCTAAAGGTGGTACATTTCTAAGACAATTCTATACATTTCTATAGGGAAAGGGGTCCAATGGGATGGCCTAAAGGTGGTACATTTCTAAGACAATTCTATACATTTCTATAGGGAAAGGGGTCCAATGGGATGGCCTAAAGGTGGTACATTTCTAAGACAATTCTATACATTTCTATAGGGAAAGGGGTCCAATGGGATGGCCTAAAGGTGGTACATTTCTAAGACGATTTTATACATTTCTGTGTGAAAAGGCTTCCAATGGGATGGCCCAACGGTGGTACATTTCTAAAACAATTCTATACATTTCTATAGGGAAAGGGTTCCAATGGAGGGTCTTTGTAGGATGCCCTAACACCATCACATTTCTATACATGTCTATGTGGAAAGAGGTCCAAGAGAGAGGTCTTAGTGGGATGCCCTAAAGGTGCTACATTTCTCAGATACTTTATACTTTTCTATAGGGAAAGGGTTCCAATGGAGGGTCTTTGTAGGATGCCCTAACACCATCACATTTCTATACATGTCTATGTGGAAAGAGGTCCAAGAGAGAGGTCTTAGTGGGATGCCCTAAAGGTGCTACATTTCTCAGATACTTTATACTTTTCTATAGGGAAAGGGGTCCAATTGAGGGTCTTTGTTGGATGCCCTAACACCATCACATTTCTATATTTTTCAATGTGGAAAGGGATTCAATAGACAGGTCTTAATGGGATGCCCTGAAGATGCTACATTTCTAAAACATCCTACAGTGAAAGAAAGATCTTTGTGGAGTTCAATTCAAAAGGGTGACAACACAACACAAGAAGCTATTGCAATTCTGAGTAAAGACTTTGGGGTCCATCTGGACCCTCAGGTGGCTCTCCCTGGGCCCTTGGGCTCCTCATCCCCCGCGGACGCGCAGGTTCAGATAGATGGTGCCCTCGGGAGCGATGCCATAGTCAGCCATGGTGCCGTTCTCCATGGGCTTGCCTTCGTAGAGGAGCCAGTACTGGCCCGGCTGGACATGCTCCTTCAGCTGGACCCGGATCTTGAAGTCGGCGACCACCTCGGAGGGCATGACATCGTAGGTGCGGAGGTTGCCGCGGTCGTTGCGCAGGTAGATGGTAATGGGCTCCTCCAGCTTGACCAGGAGGGCGAGGGTGTCTCCCGAGTGCAGCCCGCAGCCCGCAACCGAATTGGAATCATTCAGGATGAGGCCACTGCCTGCTGGAGGCGCCAGCTTCTGGTGGTAGCGACGGCACCCCATCTTGCGCTCCAGCAGGACCTTCACCTCCCAAATGGTGTGGTTCGGTGAGACGGTCAGGGTGTGCACCTCACCCGTCAGCAACTTGAAGTGAAGCCTCATAGCCTATGGGGATGAAAGAGGGGCACACTTTCAAACCAGGACATTTGGTTAGTATTGTCTGGCCTTTAGAGACAGGGATCCCTTTGGAATAGCCAGATACCCCTATGCTCCCTCTTTACCCCTTCTGTGCTGCCTTTCCCTTTCGTCTCCATAACCTGGCTTTAAGAGTCGGTGATCATTTTGGAATAGCTAGATATCCCTTTGCTGCCTCTTTCCTTCTTCTGTGCTGTCTTTTTCCTTTGTCTCAATAATCTGGCCTTAACAGGTGGGGGGGGGGGGGGATCCCTTTGGAATATCCCCGTGCTGTCTCTTTGCCTCTTCTGTGTTGCCTTTCCCCTTCATCTCCATAATATGACCTTAACAATATAATATAATATATTGTCGAAGGCTTTCATGGCTGGAATCACTGGGTTGTTGTAGGTTTTTTCGGGCTATATGGCCATGGTCTAGAGGCATTCTCTCCTGACGTTTCGCCTGCATCTATGGCAAGCATCCTCAGAGGTAGTCACTACCTCTGAGGATGCTTGCCATAGATGCAGGCGAAACGTCAGGAGAGAATGCCTCTAGACCATGGCCATGTAGCCCGAAAAAACCTACAACAACCCTATAATATAATATATTGTATATACATATAATATTGATAATACAATCTAATACTACTAATACTAACATATTATAATTATATATTTAATATTAAATGTAATATTACTAATCAGATTACGGTATAATGTTATAGTACAATGTAATATATAATATTAATATTGTGCTATGGTAATAATATAATATATGGTATTTACTTGTTACTTGTAAGCTGCTCTGAGTCCCCTTTGAGGTGAGAAGGGCGGCATATAAATGTCGTAAATAAATAAATAGGCTGTCGTAAATAAATAAATGAATAAATAAATAGGCTGGGATCACCTCACCCGTCAGCAACTTGAAGTGCAGACTCATAGCCTATGGGGATGAAAGAGGGGCACACTTTCAAACCAAGACATTTGGTTAGTATTGTCTGGCCTTTAGAGACAGGGATCCCTTTGGAATAGCCAGATAGCCCTGTGCTCCCTATTTACCCCTTCTGTGCTGCCTTTCCCTTTCGTCTCCATAATTTAGCTTTAAGAGACTGGGATCCCTTTGGAATAGCCAGATACCCCTTTGCTGCCTCTACCTCTTCGGTGCTGCCTTTCCCCTTCCTGCCTCTTCTGTTCCATTATCTGGCCCTTGACCACCAACCTCTGAGGAGGCTCCCGTCCCATACGATGCAATGGCACCCCATAGATGGGAATGCTGGAGGCTGTGGACCCAGAATCCACACACTATAGTTCCCATATTCCTATGTGAACAATTTAAGGGGTTGGAAAGGAATATTGACAGGTATGTTTTCAATCCCTGGACAGTTGATTTTGTGGATGCTCAACCTGTGGATACTTGTGCCTGTGCATAGAGGACAGATAGATAGGTCGATAGAAGTATTGGGGAGAGAAACAGATGGATGGATAGACAGAGAGATAATACTGTATATACTCGAGTTTAAGCCTAATTTTTCAGCCCTTTTTTAAGGCTGAAAAAGTCCCATTCGGCTTATACTCAAGATTATTTATTATTTAATTGTATTATTATTATTATTATTATTTTACTCTATTATTACATTTATTATTTTACTCTATTCTGTTACTAGCCGTCCCCTGCCACGCGTTGCTGTGGCCCACATGGGGGTTCTGTGTGGGAGGTTTGGCCCAATTCTATCATTGGTGGGGTTCAGAATGCTCTGTGCTTGTAGGTGAACTATAAATCCCAGCAACTACAATTCCCAAATGTCAAGGTCTATTTCCCCCAAACTCCACCAGTGTTCACATTTGGGCAAATTGAGTATTCGTGTGGAGTTTGGTCCAGATTCATCATTGTTTGAGTCCACAGTGATCTCGGGATGTAGGTGAACTACAACTCCAAAACCAAAGGGCACTGCCCACCAAACCCTTCCAGTATTTTCTGTTGGTCATGGGAGAACTGTGTGCCAAGTTTGGTTCAATTCCATCGTTGGTGGGGTTCAGAATACTCTTTGATTGTAGGTGAACTATCAATCCCAGAAACTACATCTCCCAAATGTCATTTTTTTTTTTGCATGAAGGACATACATTGGGTTGTTAGGTGTCTTGTGTCCAAATTGGGTGTCATTTCGCCCAGTGGTTTTTGAGTTCTGTTAATCCCACAAACCAACATTACATTTTTATTTATATAGATTATTACATTTACAACTGGGTTGTTGTAAGTTTTTTGGGCTGCATGGCCATGTTCCAGAAGCATATTCTCCTGACGTTTCTCCTGCATCTATGGCAGGCATCCTCAGAGGTTGTGCGGTTACAACCTCTGAGGATGCCTGCCATAGATGCAGGAGAAACGTCAGGAGAGAATGCTTCTGGAACATGGCCATACAGCCTGAAAAACTTACAACAACCCAGATAAATAATGATGTTGTACCCCACCTTGAGCAGCAAGGAAAGGTGGGTAATATATTTGGCAGTGTAATCCACTTTGCCCATGTTTCTATGACCAAACCAATCAGGAAATGACATTTCTAACCCAGGAACATAAACTATGTTGCATAGTGATATTATTATAATCATTATTGTTGTTGTTTATGAATAATTTGGGAGGATTGTTGTAGGTTTTTCAGGCTGTATGGCCATATTCTAGTAGCATTATTTCCTGATGTTTCGCCTGCATCTGTGGCAAGCCTAGTTTAAAAAAATCTGAATAAAAATAATAAAATAAATAAATAAATAATAAAATGTAATAATAGTAATAAATAGTAAGATAAATCCTAATAATACTAATAAATGATGTAGTAATACTAATAAACTGAAAATAAATCATAATTAATAATAGTCAATATGAATAATAATATTATAATAGTACTAAAAATAGCAACATTCACACCTACCTCCAACAGACAAGAGTTCTTTCTCCCACCCTGGACATTCCACAAATATATAAACCCAATTTTCCTAGATTCTAACAGACCTCACAACCTCTGAGGATGCTTGCCATAGATGCAGGCGAAATGTCAGGAGAGAATGCTTCTAGAACATGGCCATACAGCCCGAAAAATCTACAACAACCCTGTGATTCCGGCCAAGAAAGCTTCGACAATAATTTGGGTGGATTTTTTTTTTTTTGCCCATGGGTTCATCTTGGATTCAGGCTTTCTACACTGCCATATAAAACCCAGATTATCTACTTTGAACTGGATTATATGGCAGTGTAGACTCAGGCCCCTTCTGCTCTGTCATATAATCCAGGTTTATGTAAGAAGAGAATCCACACTATCTGCTTTGAACTGGATTATATGGCAGAGTCGACTCAGGCCCGTTCTGCACTGCTATATAATCCAGGTTGATTCAAGCTGACAACCACACTACCTGCTTTGAACTGGATTATCCGAGTCTACACTGCCTTATAAAACCCAGATTTACTACTTTGAACTGGATTACATGGCAGTGTCGACTCAGGCCCCTTCTGCACTGCTATATAATCCAGGTTTATCCAAGCTGACAATCACACTACCTGCTTTGAACTGGATTATCCGAGTCTACACTGCCTTATAAAACCCAAATTATCTACTTTGAACTGGATTATATGGCAGTGTCGACTCAGGCCCCTTCTGCACTGCTATGTAATCCAGGTTTATCCAAGCTGACAATCACACTACCTGCTTTGAACTGGATTATCCGAGTCTACACTGCCATATAAAACCCAGATTTACTACTTTCAACTGGATTATATGGCAGTGTAGACTCAGGCCCCTTCTGCTCTGTCATATAATCCAGGTTTATGCAGGAAGAGAATCCACACTACCTGCTTTGAACTGGATTATCCGAGTCTACACTGCCATATAAAACCCAGATTTACTACTTTCAACTGGATTATATGGCAGTGTAGACTCAGGCCCCTTCTGCTCTGTCATATAATCCAGGTTTATGCAGGAAGAGAATCCACACTACCTGCTTTGAACTGGATTATCCGAGTCTACACTGCCATATAAAACCCAGATTATCTACTTTGAACTGGATTATATGGCAGTGTCGACTCAGGAACCCTTCTGCACTGCTATGTAATCCAGGTTTATCCAAGCTGACAATCACACTACCTGCTTTGAACTGGATTATCCGAGTCTACACTGGTATATAATCTGGTACAAAGCAGATAATCTGGATTTTATATGAACTGGATTATCCGAGTCTACACTGGTATATAATCTGGTACAAAGCAGATAATCTGGATTTTATATGAACAGGATTATCCGAGTCTACACTGCCATATAATCCGGTACAAAGCAGATAATCTGGATTTTATATGGATTTTATATGAACTGGATTATCCGAGTCTACACTGCCATATAATCCGGTACAAAGCAGATAATCTGGATGTTATATGGCAACGTAGTGGGGGCCTTAGCAGCCCTACATTGGCAATTGGTGCTCAATAGGGAATTGTCACGTTTCCTTCCAGTGACGCGTCTACACTACAGAGTTAACGCAGTTTGGTACCGCGATGAACTGCCCTGGCTCAAGGCGATGAGGTCTTGGGAGTCGTGGTTGAAGCGAGCCCTTCGCAGGCCTGGAGCTGGGCCAAGAGAAGGGGAGCTGCTTCCTCCTCCTCCTCCTCCTCTGCCTTTCCCCACTGACTTTCAGTCCCTGGGCAAGAGCGTCACTCACCATGGCTGGATTCGAACTCGCAATCTTCCGCTCCGCTCTGCTCTGCTCTGCTCTTCTGCCTCCAATCGCGCCGCCCGTTCCCGAAGTGCCGGGCGTCTCACAGGCGCGCCTTTTATGCGGCTCCTCGGGGGGGCGGGGGGAGAGCAGCCCCCGAAGCGCGCGGCGCTTTCCGTTTCCACCCGCGGAAAAACGAAACTCATGCAGGAAAACGAAACTCCTCCTCGGGCTCAGCCAAGCGAGCTCACTTAGTCCCGAGTCTTCCTACTGTTGGGTTCACGCTCCTGCTCCTGCTCCTGTTGTTAGGATTTCTTTTACTATTAATCAGAATTACTCTCAGGATTTAGTTTACTATCTATTATTACATTACAATTATTAGTACTCGTATTTATTTTACTACTTATTACTATTATTTTAGTATTAATAATGATATTATTAATTACTATTAGGATTTATTTTTCCTCTATTACCATTATTATAGCATTAATAATAATGATTATTGATTATTAGGATTTATTTTCCTTTTAATACTCTTACTATTACATTATTATTACTATAAGGATTTATTATACTATTTATTACTACTACTATGATATTAATATTAATTGTTATTAGAATTTATTTTCCTTTTATTACTCTCATTATTTTATTATTACTATAAGGATTTATTATACTATTTATTACTACTACTATTATACTATTTATTACTACTATTATATTAATAATAATGATTATTAATTTTAGGATTTCTCTTCCTTTTATTACTCTTATTATTACATTATTACTATAAGGATTTATTATACTATTTATTACTACTACTATTATATTAATATTAATAATAATGATTATTATTAGGATTTATTTTCCTTTTATTACTCTTATTATTACATTATTATTACTATAAGGATTTATTATACTATTTATTACTACTACTATTATATTAATATTAATTATTATTAATTTTAGGATTTATTTTCCTATTATTACTATTATTACATTATTAATATAGATGATTATTAATTATTATCAGGATTTATTCCTATTATTATTAATTATTATTAGGATCTAGTTTACTATTTATTACTTTTTATTACATTATTATTAATATCAATTATTAGGATTTAGCTTACTATTTATTTCTATTATTATATTATTAATTATTGTTAGGATTTATTTTCTTTTTCTTATTAATTTTAGATTATTTATTAGTAGGATTTATTTTCCTTTTTTTTTTGTCGTGTCAGGAGCAACCACTCCTGTTGTGAGAGTTGCCCAGAGGACACCCGGATGATTTGATGTTTTTATCATCCTTGTGGGAGGTTTCTCTCATGTCCCCGCATGAGGAGCTGGAGCTAATAGAGGGAGCTCATCCGCCTCTCCCCGGATTCGAACCTGCGACCTGTCGGTCTTCAGTCCTGTTGGCACAGTGCTTTAACCCACTGCGCCACCGGGGGCTTTTTATTACTTTTATTCCTCTTATTACTATTCTTACATTATTAATATAAATGATTATTAATTATTAGAATTTATTTTCCTTTTATTACTCTTATTAATTATTATTTATTAATGTTATTAGGCTTTAGTTTATTACTATTATTATATTATTAATATAATTTTAATTATTAGGATTTATTTTCTTTTTATTAATATTAGATTATTTATTAATAGAATATATTTTACTGTTTATTACATTATTATTCATATTATTATTAGGATTTGTTATACTATTTACTAGTTTACTATTTATTATTTTTATTATTATATTATTATTAATATTAATTATTATTAGGATTTATTTTACTATTTATTACTATCATTATGTATTGTCGAAGGCTTTCATGGCTGGAATCACTGGGTTGTTGTGAGTTTTCTGGGCTGTATGGCCATGTTCCAGAAGCATTCTCTCCTGACGTTTTGCCCACATCTATGGCAGTCATCCTCAGAGGTTGTGAGGTGTGTTGGAAACTCGGAAAATTGGGTTTCTATATTTGTGGAATGTCCAGGTTGGGAGAAAGAACTCTTGTCTGTTGGAGGTAGGTGTGAATGTTGCTATTGTTATTATTGTTGTTGTTGTTGATATTAATATTTATTTTCCTTTTATTATTATTATTATTATTACATAATTATTTATTAGTATTAGTATTATTAAGATTTATTTTACAATCTATGTACTATTTATTACTATTATTACCTTTTTATTATTTATTTTATTATAATTTTTTTACTATTTGATATTATTATTTGGATTAATTTTTTCATATTAATTTTTATTTTTCATATTAATTTTTATTGCAGTACCAACTTCTTTTTTCTTATTCAATAAAACGAAAAATACAGAAAAGGGGGGACAAACAATCAAGAGGGGGGGGAGAGAAGGGAAAAGGAGAAACAGAGGCGAAAAAGGAGTAATGGGACAAGAGAAAAAATAATTATAATTACAATAAAAAAGATGTACAAAAGGGGGGAGGGGAGAAAAAAATGGTCGAAAATAAATGGAAAAACAAACCTCATAGTTTGGTTGGACTTCCATCTACTCCTTGGTGTTCCTTCTATATATTCTTCTTTTTACAGAGGCACCGGGCCCTGTATTATCCTTCCCTTCTCTTCTTTCTTCCCCTTATCATGTTTCAGACTTATTCTTCGTCTAAATTATTTATTTTACTGTTTATTACTATTATAATATTATTAATAATATTAATGATTAAAAATTATTAGGATTCATTTCCCCTTTATCACTATTATTACGGCATTATTAATAGTAATAATTATTAATTATTAGGATTTATTTTCCTTTTATTACTCTTATTAATTATTATTTATTTTTAGGATTTAGTTTACTATTTATTACTATTGTTATATTATTAATAATTATAATTTTTATTATTAGGATTTATTTTCTTTTTATTACTATTAATATTAGACGATTATTATTAGGATTTATTTTCCTATTTATTATTATTTCTATTACATTATTATTATTATTATTATTATTATTATTATTATTATTATTATTATTATTATGGAGCCCCCGGTGGCGCAGTGGGTTAAAGCACTGTGCCGGCAGGACTGAAGACCGACAGGTCACAGGTTCGAATCCGGGGAGAGGCGGATGAGCTCCCTCTATCAGCTCCAGCTCCTCATACGGGGACATGAGAGAAGCCTCCCACAAGGATGATAAAAACATCGAATCATCTGGGTGTCCCCAGGGCAATGTCCTTGCAGACGGCCAATTCTCTCACACCAGAAGCGACTTGCAGTTTCTCAAGTCGCTCCTGACACGACAAAAAAAATATTATTATTATTATTATTATTATTATTATTATTATTATTAGGATTTATGATACTATTTACTTGTTTACTCTTTATTTCTTTTTATTATATTATTATTTTTATCATTATTATTATTTATTAGGATTTATTTTACTATTTATTACTATCATTATGCATTGTCAAAGGCTTTAATGCCCGGAATGCAATATTCCTGCTTCTTGGCAGAATGGGGTTGGACTGGATGGCCCATGAGGTCTCTTCCAGCTCTTTGATTCTCTGATTGTATGAATCACTGGGCTGTTGTGAGTCTTCTGGGCTGCATGGCCATCTTCCAGTTCTCTCCTGACATTTCACCCTCATCTATGGCTGAAACATCCTCAAAGATTGTGAGGTGTGTTGGAAACTAGGAAAATTGGGTTTCTATGTTTGTGGAATGTCCAGGGTGGGGGAAAGAACTCTTGTCTGTTGGAGGTAAGTGTGAATGTTGCTATTATTAGTACTACTATAATATTTTTATTCATATTGACAATTATTAATTAATAATTATTATTTATTTTCATTTTATTAGTATTATTACATCATTATTTATTAGTATCAGTATTATTYGGATTTATCTTACTATTTATTTACTATTTATTTACTATTTGGTATWATTATTATTTGAATTTTTCATATTAATTTTTATTTTTTCATATTAATTTTTATTGTAGTACCAACTTGTTTTTTCTTATTCAATAACACCAAAAATACAGAAAAGGGGGGACAARCAATCAAGAGGGGTGCGGGGGGGGGGGGGAGAAGGGAAAAGGAGAWACAGAGGCMAAAAAGGAMTAATGGRACAWGAGAAATAATAATTATAATTACAATAAAAAAGATGYACAAAAGGCGGGGGRRRRGAGAAAAAATGGTMGAAAATAAATGGAAAAAAAACMMACCATAGTTTGGTTKGACTTCCVTCTACTCCTTGGTGTTCCTTCTATATATTCTTCTTTTTATAGAGGCACCGGGCCCTGTATTATCCTTCCCTTCCCTTCTTTCTTCCCCTTATCATGTTTCTGACTTATTCTTCGTCTAAATTATTGTTGATATTAAGATTTATTTGATTATTAATAATAATTACTATAAGGATTTAGTTTACTATTATTATTCATATTGACTATTATTAATTATTAATTATTTCCGTTTTATTAGTATTATTACATCATTATTTATTAGTATTAGTATTATTAGGATTTCTCTTACTATTTATTTACTGTTTATTACTATTATAACATTTTCTTATTTATTATTTTTATTAGGATTTTTAACTATTTGGTATTATTATTATTATTTGAATTTATTTTTTTCATGTTAATTGGTTCATGTTAATTGGTTAATCATGTTAATTGGGTTTTTTTTGGGGGGGGGGTGTATTCCTTGGTTTGGTGTTGTTGAGTATGTGGGTCTCCCCATATGCATTACGTCCAGAACCTTATTCTGCCAGCCTTCGATCGGAGGTATTTTTTTAACTCTCCGATTCCTTCGATCTATTATCATAACGGCTGTGGCTCGGTAATTGAATCGGTTCTTTCTGGGGGTTTTTCCTTTTCTAAATTTAGAATAGGAATTATTCCGGTTCCATTTTAATTTCTATTCCTTAAATTTTATTTTTTGGATTAATTTTTACTATTTTGTCTTTTTTTTGTTAATACATTTCCTATTATTATTTGAATTTATTACACCATATTGTATTATTATTACATTTGATTGATTTTGTTATTTTGTATTATTATTACATGAATTCTAATGGTACGAGTGGATTTTACTATTTTGTATTAATATTATTACGTGAATGATTATATAGGTTTATTTTACTATTTTGCATTATTTTACTATTTTGCATTATTAGTATGAGTATTTG